ATAGTTGCTATTATTGGGACTCCAGCTGAATTATTTGGCAGAATATATCAGCTAGTTATCACATTTCAAATATTATCACGTATATCACAACACTCTGCATCATCAGCAATGCCATGAAATATATACAGTAACAGTGGTCAGGAGAAGTCAATCAGATCCTTCCATCATCTACTGAAACTGTGACTCAGCAACAGAATAGATCCGTCCATTGTATTGAGGGTTAATGCCTTGTCAGCTGTTTTGGAGACATTCACTGAGTAATTTGGGGATACATGTATTATGATTTGGGTGGAATATCATGATTAATGCTGCCATTAGTCTAGTCTCCAAGATACATCTGAATAAAATCTGGAATAAAACCCATGACCCTAGGATCCTCACACAACTAAGGGAAGCAACTCCACAAATAGAATTGTGGTGCACGGGACAACAAAGTACGTATAGAACAGACTGTCAGGGATCCTGGTAAGAACTAACACACATACAGATGGATGAATTTGTTCTGGAAATTCCTTTTAGGGATTTCATAGATCTAATCTTGGGTACTAATCTTAGCTAAGACATATTTTAGCAAACCTCGGGAAACTCAAAAATATTCAAAAACTTATACAGACCCTGACCACCCCTATTGTTTTTGCTGTCGTATCTCACTTGTGATACAAACAGATCTTCCAAATCTTATTCACTGTATTTATTTCAATAATTATTTTCAAGCCTCAAATATATATACCGAAGATTGAGGTATGAAAATTGTGATGATTAATATTCAAACAAATATCTGAAACAAAAGTCCACTACAAACAATTTCCTGATGATTATGACCCTTGTTCCTCAAATTCATTTGGCACGTGTTTTTTCTTGTGTACACACTTGAGTATTATCCACACCCCATCCTTGTGAACAAGTTGCGGAGACAAATTGCTACTCCACGGATGTGACCGGCCAGGGGGCCTCATGGGTGCTAGGATACAATTGTGCCGTGACGTCATAAAAACGTTTGACGTCAACTTACTTCCGATATAATTGCCATGTGTCCAGACTGTACAAAAATATAATTTTATCTCGTTAGTTGTAATGTAATTAAACCATTTCAAAACATTTCAGCACACGTTTACTTAAGACTAAGCTAAGGATCCTCACACAACTAAGGGAAGCAACTCCACAAACAGAAGTGTGGATTATAATAAAAAACTGCAACCATTACATTAACAGTCATACATCTCAAAATGGGACTTTGCAGAGAAAGAGACTAAACGTTTGAAGACATGCATCTGTGTAATAAATATTTTGTATTTTTATGACCCTAAGATACCGTAGTTATAAAATGTACATGTATTAAGTCAAAATGTGACTGTTCGGGAGGGTTTTAAAAAAAACCACTCCCTACTTCGCAGAAACGCACATGTCCCAGTCATTATCAGAGCCAAGTGTACAAAACACACCCTGCTTCGCAGAAAGCACGTGCTTTCCGTGACGATTTTGTTAATGACTGGGACATGGGAGTTTCTAGGAGTTTAGTTAGACAGGTGAGTTTGCAGAGTAAAGACGTGTCGTAACAGTAGACAATAGAACAGTTGTTTGTGTTCGATTGGGGTAAATAAATGGGTTCCATTTTCATTGTTTTGGTTTTTCGTTAATAAACATCAGATATTCCTATTTATCATCCAAAACTGGCTCCCACAGGAGATATCGCTTGGATGAGATCAAGCGATATCTACACTGTAGATATCGCTGCAATGAAATAACATCACAATGCTTTGCAGACCATTGTGACGTCATTGGTTACAATGATGTCACAATCAAATGACATCACTAATGGCTCTGCTACTGAAGCTGTTTGAAGTACTTTTTACACTGAAGACACTGCTAATTACTGTCTACAAATTGAAAAAGTTGAAAAAATGATATTGGATGATAAATAAAATCTCACCCTCGTGTCTTTTGATATCAAATATATCAACACTCGTTGATAAAAGTGGCAAAAATCCTCGGCAAGCCTCGGAATTTTTCCACTTTTATCAACTCGTGTTGATATATTTGATATCAAAAGACACTCAGGTGAGATTCTCTATATAACAGTGACTTTTCACCCATAAGGTCCATTACCTCAAGGTGAAATGGGGTTTAACATCGCGTCCAAGATTATTGCATTTATAGAGTGAACCCTGGACCTTCCGCTCGCCGGGCATATGCTCTACCACTAGACCACGGAGGCGGTTCCAAACGTTTGAAGACATGCATCTGTGTAATAAATATTTTGTATTTTTATAATCCTAAGATACCCTAGTTATAAAATGTACATGGATTAAGTCAAAATGTGACTTTTCACCCATAAGGTCCCTTATCTTAAGGTTGGTCACATATAGTACCCTGTCAAAAACTACATCGGACTGCTTCAGAGAATTGAACAAGAGAAAACATGCTTAGTCAACGAAAATGTGAACCTTGTGATAAACCACCACTAGACCACTAATTTACAATTTTAATTGCGTTAGCTGTACGCTACGCATTATGTATATCCAGAGATTACGATTACCATGTGTAACTGTCTTAAGCCAGACATCTAATGAAATACTAATTCCTGGTAATGTTATTGTGTTGGGAAAGAAAACTAAAAAACTAAGTATGTACACATTTTTCTTAAATTTTAAGCGATTTGAGTGAGTGAGTGAGTGAGTGTGGTTTTATGCCGCTTTTAGCAATATTCCAGCAATATCACGGCGGGGGACACCAGAAATGGGCTTTACACATTGTACCCATGTCGGGAATCGAACCCGGGTCTTCAGCGTGACGAGCGAACGCTTTAACCACCAGGCTACCCGACCGCCCCCTAAGCATGTATTATGCGCACTCCCTCTACACAGCAGCACAAGACAATACAGTTTGGTCAATCTTCAAAAAACAATATGTAGTTGGACGTTACATTTCCACTAAAATATCTCCGTATAAACATTATCTACATTCTTGAGTGAATTAAGCTAAAAACACACATTGATGTGAAAACAAGGAATGACAAAGGTTACAAACCTCAGAATATGCTTGAAATAGAGGATATGAAAGTACATTTGAAAACATCGACAGGTATGAGATCTATTGACCATTGGAAATGGCAAATCTTAAAAATGTTGATAAAAAAGGTCTGACCCTTCATCGTGATGGAACTAGACACTTTTGATGCTAAAGATCATGGCCCACTTGCACAAAACAATCTTAGCGTTAAGTGAGTATGGTTTTACGCCACTTTTAGCAATATTCCAGCAATATCACGACGGGGGATACCAGAAATGGGCTTCACACATTGTACCCATGCCCGGAATCAAACCCGGGTCTTCGGTGTGACGAGCGAACGCTTTAACCACTAGGCTACCAGATCGCCCCCTTAGCGCTAAGACTATTGTAAGTCTATGTTAATGTATGGAAGTTAAGATCATCTTAGCGCTAAGATTGCTTTGTGCAAGTGGGCCCATGACTTGAATCAATGAATACATGGAAGTCAGACTGATGGGAGTCCATTATTAACATATAGTGGTATGCACATTGTATGAGAGTTGAATTATCTCCCTTTGAGACAACATGGCGGATGACTGTAAAGATACAGAGATATAACACATTAAGTAGTCTGTAAAATAAAAGTATAGAGACACAGCCAAAAAATGAAATACCTTCTTCAGATCCAGTTCTGGTGCTGTGTAGACAGATAAGGTTTGACTACATGGGGACAAGGATTTGACCTGTGATCAGAAGCTCCGTGGTTCAAATCCCAAAATTAACTCGGAAATTTTATGGCTGCGACACATACATGTACTTGACTTTCAGCTATGTCAGCAGAAAATAGTGACAACACAGAAAAGCAGCCCTAGGTGTCGGAGGAAGGTACTGTTTACTAAACCCCTGAACTGAAGTATATCTCATGCACATCTGCAATATCTGATTACAACAAAGCAATGAAATCCCTGAGGTGTGTCTAAGGATGAGACAGGCAGACATGATCCGGTAGTGACCTTCAAATAACATCATCAACGTTGAACAACATTTAAAACAATATGGACTACGACAACATGACGTAATTGCTGTTGTTGGTACTTTGTGTAATTTCCAGTAATAAAGGTCAGAACCTCATTGCTGTTGATGACAAACACACTCCGGCGCAGTGGTGACTCAGCATAACACCACTGCCACAGGCTAATTTGCATATCACGTGACCGGCCTTTTCTCTTGTTTGTAAATAAACGGATTTTTTCAGAAATCAGTATAGAACGGACTAATGCAAATATTTGGGGCGCTTAACATATTGTTTTGCATAACTATATAGATATGCTAATGCAACTGCGTCAGTGAATTTCGTGACAATATATATTTATACATCAAAGTGACCGTATCGCGAGCTCTCCGTTTTTGCTTCGATGACAGCATGTGGAGCCGTACAACCAATGTAAACAAAGGATAACTACGCAAAAACAAATAGTTTTTCACGTATTGGGATACTTTCTTAATGAACCGTAACCATTATTTGACATTTGTATGTGAAAATGTGTAGACTTGACAAACATGAAACGGATGAAAAGCATATGCAATATCTTGAATGAACAGTGAAGGATGTGACGAATCGTCACATGGCGCTGACCTGTGGGAGAGGTACTATGCTGGCTGGCTGCCGGCCGCATGGAACTCTGGGTAGGAGAGTGGATGTCACATCGACTGTACAGATATTTTCCAAAAAATAGGTTTTGGCTCTCTTCAGTCTTTACAATGAGTGAGTAAGTTAAACACCGCTTTGAACAGAATTGCAGTTATATCGCGATGTGTCAGCTTAATGTGGGAGGAAAGCCCAAGTGATGCTGGTCTCAGATGTTTACCACTTCGGTGAAACCCACGAGCACGGGTATGGTGCTGAGAAACCTAGAAACATAATCGGGGCGAACCGGGATTTGAACCCACAATCATAGGTTTCTGGCGTGCCCAAGGGACGCAACTCTGCACAGCAAATCACGGAGCCTTAGACGACTGGGCCACCTGCGCCCCCCTGACAAACCTAGAAACAAAATCGTGGCGAACCGGGATTCGAACATAGGATTCTGGCATGCCAAAGGGACGCAACTCTGCACACCCATGCCCCCGTCTTTACAATGAGAGACATTACACTGGCAGCATACAGCATGGAGACGTCCAGAGACAGTCTCCAGGCCTTGACCTGCTGTAGGGGAGAAAGTGTCACAGATCTATCAAAGACTAAAATGTTCATAGATGGATCAAAATTGTGCTCACATGGATCAAAGACATCCATAAGTGATCAAAGATGTAAAAACAAGGATCAACATTGTAAAAACAAGGATCAACAGTTATAACATGGATCAATGTTGTTATAACATGGATCAATGTTGTTTTAAAATGGATTGTTGTTATAATATGGATCAATGTTGTTATCTAAAATAGATCAATGTTGTTATAACATGGATCAACATTGTAAAATTGTAAAAACAAGGATCAACAGTTATAACATGGATCAATGTTGGATCAATGTTGTCTTAAAATGGATTGTTGTTATAATGTGGATCAATGTTGTTATCTAAAATAGATCAATGTTGTTATAAAATGGATCAATGTTGTTATAACATGGATCAACATTGTAAAATTGTAAAAACAAGGATCAACAGTTATAACATGGATCAATGTTGGATCAATGTTGTCTTAAAATGGATTGTTGTTATAATGTGGATCAATGTTGTTATCTAAAATAGATCAATGTTGTTATAAAATGGATCAATGTTGTTATAACATGGATCAACATTGTAAAATTGTAAAAACAAGGATCAACAGTTATAACATGGATCAATGTTGGATCAATGTTGTCTTAAAATGGATTGTTGTTATAATGTGGATCAATGTTGTTATCTAAAATAGATCAATGTTGTTATAACATGGATCAACATTGTAAAAACAAGGATCAACATAGTTATAACATGGATCAATATTGTTATAACATGGATCAATTTTGGATCAATGTTGTTTTAAAATGGACTGTTGTTATAACATGGATCAATGTTGTTATCTAAAATAGATCAATGTTGTTATAAAATGGATCAATGTTGTTATAAAATGGATCAACTTTGCTATAAGATGGATCAACATTGTCCTGCAGATCAAATGGCGAGATCTACACCAGGTTGGCATCTTTGGCCATCCCATAGAAGACGCTTTGTTTGTCTGCCAGGAGAGCTGCCGGCGTGTCGAACTCCTTGACCAGCCCTTGGTCCAGCACCAGGATTCTGAAACAGCAATGTAAGGTTTGTATCAGGTAATGATCCCGGCCAAGGAAATAAAAGATTCCCAACCTCGGACTGCTTCAAATTTCCTTTCATCACACTGGTGCGGCGTTTTCTTATATTTAATTGATGGATGACTCTGTATGTACCACGAAGTCACCACATTTGAATAAAATTCAACTTTTCATATCATTAAAGTCCATGACGGTGTTGGTGAGCTATGGTGATCACAGTGAACCACATGCATAACTCACCTGTCGTAGTCCATGACGGTGTTGGTGAACTACGGTGATCATAGTGAACCACATGCATAACTCACCTGTCGTAGTCCATGACGGTGTTGGTGAGCTACAGTGATCATAGTGAACCACATGCATAACTCACCTGTCGTAGTCCATGACGGTGTTGGTGAGCTACAGTGATCATAGTGAACCACATGCATAACTCACCTGTCGTAGTCCATGACGGTGTTGGTGAGCTATGGTGATCACAGTGAACCACATGCATAACTCACCTGTCGTAGTCCATGACGGTGTTGGTGAACTACAGTGATCATAGTGAACCACATGCATAACTCACCTGTCGTAGTCCATGACGGTGTTGGTGAGCTATGGTGATCATAGTGAACCACATGCATAACTCACCTGTCGTAGTCCATGACGGTGTTGGTGAGCTACAGTGATCATAGTGAACCACATGCATAACTCACCTGTCGTAGTCCATGACGGTGTTGGTGAGCTATGGTGATCAGAGTGAACCACATGCATAACTCACCTGTCGTAGTCCATGATGGTGTTGGTGAGCTACGGTGATCATAGTGAACCACATACACAACTCACCTGTCGTAGTCCATGACGGTGTTGGTGAACTACGTTGATCATAGTGAACCACATGCTCCACTCACCTGTCGTAGTCCATGACGGTGTTGGTGAGCTATGGTGATCACAGTGAACCACATGCATAACTCACCTGTCGTAGTCCATGACGGTGTTGGTGAGCTATGGTGATCACAGTGAACCACATGCATAACTCACCTGTCGTAGTCCATGATGGTGTTGGTGAGCTATGGTGATCACAGTGAACCACATGCATAACTCACCTGTCGTAGTCCATGACGGTGTTGGTGAGCTATGGTGATCACAGTGAACCACATGCATAAATCACCTGTCGTAGTCCATGACGGTGTTGGTGAGCTATGGTGATCATAGTGAACCACATGCATAACTCACCTGTCGTAGTCCATGACGGTGTTGGTGAACTACGGTGATCATAGTGAACCACATGCATAACTCACCTGTCGTAGTCCATGACGGTGTTGGTGAGCTACGGTGATCATAGTGAACCACATGCATGACTCACCTGTCATAGTCCATGATGGTGTTGGTTAACTACGGTGATCATAGTGAACCACATGCATAACTCACCTGTCGTAGTCCATGATGGTGTTGGTGAACTACGGTGATCATAGTGAACCACATGCATAACTCACCAGTCGTAGCCCATGATGGTGTTGGTGAGCTACGGTGATCATAGTGAACCACATGCTGAACTCACCTGTCGTAGTCCATGATGGTGTTGAGACGGTGGGCGATGGTGATGACAGTCGAGTCCCTGAACTCTGTCTTGATTGTGGTCTGGATCAGATCATCGGTCTCCATGTCAACGGCTGCTGTAGCTTCGTCTAGGACCAGAATCTTGGTTTTCCTGAGCAGCGTCCGGGCCAGGCACACCAGTTGCCTCTGCCCAACACTGCAACACAAAGTCGCTAGTAATGCTATGTAACAGTGTATCGACACACCAGTTGCCTCTGCCCAACACTGCAACACAAAGTCGCTAGTAATGCTATGTGACAGTGTATCGACATAACAGGTGCCTCTGCCCAACACTGCAACACAAAGTCGCTAGTAATGCTATGTGACAGTGTATCGACATACCAGTTGCCTCTGCCCAACACTGCAACACAAAGTCGCTAGTAATGCTATGTAACAGTGTATCGACACACCAGTTGCCTCTGCCCAACACTGCAACACAAAGTCGCTAGTAATGCTATGTGACAGTGTATAGACATACCAGTTGCCTCTGCCCAACACTGCAACACAAAGTCACTAGTAATGCTATGTAACAGTGTATCGACATACCAGTTGCCTCTGCCCAACACTGCAACACAAAGTCACTAGTAATGCTATGTAACAGTGCATCGACACACCACTTGCCTCTGCCCAACACTGCAACACAAAGTCACTAGTAATGCTATGAAACAGTGTAACGACACACCAGTTGCCTCTGCCCAACACTGCAACACAAAGTCACTAGTAATACTATGTAACAGTGCATCGACATACCAGTTGCCTCTGCCCAACACTGCAACACAAAGTCACTATTAATGCTATGTAACAGTGCATCGACATACCACTTGCCTCTGCCCTACACTGCAACACAAAGTCGCTATTAATGCTATGTAACAGTGTATCGACATACCAGTTGCCTCTGCCCTACACTGCAACACAAAGTCACTAGTAATACTATGTAACAGTGTATCGACATACCACTTGCCTCTGCCCAACACTGCAACACAAAGTCACTAGTAATACTATGTAACAGTGTATCGACATACCACTTGTCTCTGCCCAACACTGCAACACAAAGTCACTAGTAATACTATGTAACAGTGTATCGACATACCACTTGCCTCTGCCCTACACTGCAACACAAAGTCGCTATTAATGCTATGTAACAGTGTATCGACATACCAAATTGCCTCTGCCCAACACTGCAACACAAAGTCACTAGTAATACTATGTAACAGTGTATCGACATACCACTTGCCTCTGCCCAACACTGCAACACAAAGTCGCTAGTAATGCTATGTAACAGTGTAACGACACACCACTTGCCTCTGCCCAACACTGCAACACAAAGTCACTAGTAATGCTATGTGACACTGCATCGACACACCAGTTATTTGTACAGTATTTAGTCTAATATGAACTTCACCATCATCATCAGACTGATGACACACAATCAGCCAGGTCTCACAGAGAACCAGCGGATCACCATGTCAGTCAGTTTTAATGACAAGCAGTGACGTCCAAGGGACCAACTCTGTTCTGGCCGTGGCACAGGAGTGAGTGAGTGAGTGAGTATGGCTTTACGCCGCTTTAAGCAATATTCAAGCAATATCACGGCGGGGGACACCAGAAATGGGCTTCACACATTGTACCCATGTCGGGAATCGAAACAGGGTCATCGGCGTGATGAGCGAACGCTTTAACCACTAGGCTACCCGACCGATGGCACAGGAATCATCTGTGTTAACAGGGGAGGATGTGAAACCTGACCTGACTGACTACACTCAACACAACGGGACAATCCCGGTTCTCCCCGATTATGTTTCTAGGTCTGTCAGCACATGATCTAGACTACACTCAACACAACGGGACAATCCACGTTCTCCCCGATTATGTTTCTAGGTCTGTCAGCACATGATCTAGACTACACTCAACACAACGGGACCATCCTGGTTCTCCCCGATTATGTTTCTAGGTCTGTCAGCACATGATCTAGACTACACTCAACACAACGGGACAATCCCGGTTCTCCCCGATTATGTTTATAGGTCTGTCAGCACATGATCTAGACGTTAGTGGTAGACGTGTAACACATGTATCACTCCGACATCAAGTAAGAGACGACTAATAGGTTCGGGTGGTCAGGCTCGCTGACTTGGTTGATGCAATGGCGTGGATCGATGCTCATGATGTCAATCACTGGATTGTCTGGTCCAGACTACATTATTTACAGACCTGTCAATCACTGGATTGTCTGGTCCAGACTACATTATTTACAGACCGCCGCCATAGAGCTGGAATATTGCTGAGTGCAGTGTTAAACAACATGCAAACAAACTAACAAAACATCAAGCTGACATGCCGTGATAGAACTGGAATACTGTTTAAGGCAGCGTGAAACCCAACTCACTCACTCACAACGGGAGAAGCTCGTTTATACTACAGTGACTTACCGTATTCGACCTAATAAGTGCCCTGGGCGCTCTCAAAATTAGAAATAGGGTGCTCTTATTAGAATATTATTTTGGTGAAAAACAACAGAGTTGGAAGATAAATTTTGTGGTTTATACTGACAGCCTGAAATGTTAATATACGAGAGATACATTTTTCCAGAATTTAATTGCCCATAATTAAGGGTGCATATAACACACGAGTGCATATTATACGCGAATAAATAAGTCTTGTGTACATTGATCAATCCGAAGGGGTGCTAATTGGGATATTTCACTAGTCAATATATTAGCAAATATGTCCGTGGGCGCTTATTAGAGTGGGGCGCTTATTACGTGAGTGAGTTCTCCTGCGAAGTAGTGAGCAACGAGACAAATTTCGTGAGATGAGCGTAGGACCAACGCCTGTCACAGATAGGTAGTTACACGTGACCAACCTGAGGTTTTGTCCACCTTCTCCACACTCGTACTCCAGCTGACTAGGCAACCCCGTCACAAACTTCTTGAGATGAGCGTGCTCCAATGCCTGCCACAAATCCTCATCGATGTGGCTGTCGAAGGGGTCCAGGTTCATCCTCAGGGTGCCAGAGAAGATGACAGGGTCCTAGAATTAAGTAGTCATCAGTTGGGCATCCCCATAATTCTCCCCCAGTGTTCATTTAATTAGTTCACCATAAAGCAACGTAAGTTATAGAGCATCATACGACTCTTGCTCAGAAGTTGTTCGATCAAGGCTATTACATTCAAGACCTGAGTAAAGCTTTCGAAAACGTTTTACGGTAAACATGTTAAGGAAATTTCCAAATTTTACGTATCAGTGACAATTGACTTGTCTTTGCATGTATTTGTGATGGGTGACACGGGGCAGGATACGCTCACCTTTTCGCACTTACTGGTATCATCATAATTTGATAGTGATTCATAAACACATGCTCTTGACATCGTTCTGCCTTTTATGGATATATTTCTATTCAATATGGAAAGGGTTTAGTCGCCTTATTTGAGAAATATTTCCAAAGGTTGGTGTCCCCGGTCCTGGAATCATGCAAGCATCAAGTACAGGTAACATACCTGTAAATCTCCACAAAAGCTCATTGACAATTGACTTATCCACCAGCTTTCTCCATGCATTAATAAAAATCAAAATTAATAATTGAATTCTATTCAGATCAATTCAGTAATATTAAAAAAAAACCAAAATGGTTGGTGTCCCCAGATGTTATATCTTCAACAAGGATTTGCTGACTTAAATGACTCGGGTATTTTACCTGCGGGAGTATAGTCAGTTTTGACCTGAGGTCATGCAGACCCATGTCATCAATAGCTCGGCCATCGACAATGATCCGTCCTCCGGCAGCTTCAATTAGGCGGAACAGCGCCACCGTTAGCGACGACTTGCCAGCACCAGTTCTTCCAACGATGCCAATCTGCAGATACAGGGGAACGCATATTTTCTAGTGGTATGCACAGTATGTAACTGTTGAATTATCTCCCTTTGTTGATGTTTACAAACTGGGAAGCCATTCCCATTTCAACTGAGAGATTCTGGCAGAATGACAACATGTTTTTTTTACTAAATGGGACAACATCTAATGAACTTCAAAGATTTTCCTGGTAGTGTGATTTAAAGCGTGAAAGTCGTTTTCCACCAGTCTCAAGTCAGCCTCTCACAATGGATTAACTGCTCAAGTACTGGTCCAAGAATGGGGTGATGATTCGCAATCATACATTGGATTGAATCCTGTTCACCCTGACACAGTCTCTTGGTTTGTCAGCACCTAATGTAATGTGGTTTTCATCTGGGCTTTCCTCAAAATTCAAAGTCATTTAATTGAAATAATGTTGAAAGCTGTGTAAACCAAACCCTGTCATACATTGAGATACCAGCACACGTATTAGGATAAATAGCGAATCTCACCCGAGTGTCTTTTGATATCAAATATATCAACACGAGTTGATAAAAGTGGAAAAATTCCAAGGTTTGCTGAGGATTTTTGCCACTTCATCAACGAGTGTGAGATTTTATTTATCAACCAACATCATTCTCTTGCAACTTTTTCAAATTGTAGACAGTAATTAGCAGTGTCTTCAGTGTAAAAAGTACTGGCTTCATCTTGCCCTTCCTCGAAATTCAAAGTGATACTATTGAAATAATGTTGACAGCTGTGTAAAGCAAACGTACACTGTCAAACAGGACAAATGATTACATGGGGATACATTCAGGGGTAGATTTAACAACAAATGTGTATGTAGCCAACAGGACTTGCTCCTTCTAACAGTTACTGGCCCTTTTTCCCAAACTAACTGGCCCACAACTAAATGGTGGGAGTCCGCAAACATGGATGAACCTGAGGTCTAGTAACCACCCAAACAAGGCTCTGAAATTTTTTGAACTACTCATCACTTAAACGTTTTTTCCTGCACTCTAGGATTAAATCTTGGCTTCCATTTGCCTCATTTCGTGGTGATTTATGAGCAATTAAGTTGTTGTATCCAACATTACAAAATGGCGTTCGGTTGTCATTCTACCGAGATGATCCAATTAAAATATTAAACATACACAGAGAAGGGTGAAATTTTGACCAACCAGACTGGCCATCTACTTGGCGTTTCAGCAATCCCGGTTATTTTAACTGGTCACGTGCCAAAGGGCCAGCGGTTAAATTGACCCCTGACATATATTGATCACAATGAACAATGTTGTTGAAATATTTCTGATCAGTCAAATATATCCCAGATCAAAAATGCTGCACGCAGCTGTTTGCAAATATAGTCTATATAGTCTATATTACCTTCTCCCCTCCACTGATGTCACAGGAGATGCCCTTCAACACAAGGTCAAGTTCAGATCTGTATCGTGTCATGTAGTGGTCAAACTTGACCTTGCCCTCATCCGGCCATGACCTTGGGGGTTGGCGATAGGGGTCAATCCAGTCAGCCTGAAACATATGGTAGAGGTTAGTAAGGCTTAAAAAAATATAAGAATTGGTTCTCAGGCAATGACTTTTGAAAATATAGTGCGGGCGGGTCAGTGTTTTTTTTCGCTTTGTTCCAACTAGTATGAAACCAAATGAACAGATGTGTCCCATCAACCTGGGAAAGGGCCTCCCTACATAAACAAGCATACAAACTTCTATAGCCGCCATGACTATAATACAAGATGCGCAGAAAAGCAGTGAGCATGTAAAGGGAGGTAACTATGTCACATTGTTTTAAAGTATTACCGTAATCGACGTAATAAGCATCCAGGGCGCTCTCAAAATTAGAAATAGGGGGCTCTTATTAGAATATTATTTCGGTGAAAGAAAAACAGATTTAAAGACAAATTTTGTGGTTTATACTGACAGCCTGAAATGTTAATATACGAGAGATACATTTTTCCAGAATTGCCCATAACTAACGGTGCATATAACACACGAATGCATATTATACGCGAATAAATAAGTCTTGTGAACATTGATCAATCGGAAGGGGTGCTAATTGGGATTGTCATTAGCCAATATATTAGCAAATACCGCCGTGGGCGCTTATTCCGTCGAATACGGTAGTATTTTTTTTAATTTTTTAAAAATGGAAATAAAACCGAAACGTGCGGTGGACTTTATGATGATGCAAGACTATTATTCTTTTTAGCCTAAATAACTTTAGACAACCTTGACAATGATCGACCTAGACATCATACTCCCCAGGGAGATGAGAACTGAATATGAATTACACAACATGTCAGTGTTTGCTGGAAATTTGGCTCTAAATTATTGACATCATCATCAATATTATTCATCATTTTGAATGAATAAGCAGAGAACCCAATTCCTGAAATCAAATTGACTTTACCTTTGAAGAATATACAACTTGTTGAAACAATGAAAATGTACACAATCACAATTTTGCTGACCATTTTCTATGGAATTCACACATGTGATGTAAGCTTCCTTCATTTTAACCCAAAATAAAGATGCTTCGTCATTGTAAAATTGCTTACCGTATTCAACGTTATAAGCGCCGTGGGCGCTCTCAAAATTAGAAATAGGGGGCTCTTATTAGAATATAATTTTGGTAAAAAAAAAAACAGAGTTGAAAGATAGCATGAAATGTTTATATACGACAGATATATCTTTCCAGAATTTAATTCCCCATAATTAAGGGTGCATATAACACACGAGTGCGTATTATACGCGAATAAATAAGTCTTTTGTACATTGATCAATCGGAAGGGTTGCTAATTGGGATTGTTCACGAACCAATATATTAGCAAATAGCGCTGTGGGCGCTTATTAGAGAGGGGCGCTTATTACGTCGAATACGGTATGTCCTAATTCTTGGAAACAATGAACTTGTGAATAATACAAGATGATGAATGTGATTTGCATAGCGGCATACATGCAGTAAGGATGTGCTTGTTAACTTGACTTGCAAGGGATGTCTTTCTTTTATAGAAAGCCTTTAAGCCCATGCACAAATTGATTTTCACACTACGGATATTGTCATCCTACTTTGTAGACGAAGATGTACGTCACCTCTGTTGGTGTCTCCGAGTACTCCTTCATCCGCTCAACAGACACGATGTTAGTCTCGAGGTCAGAGGTCATCCGGACCATCCAGTTGAGGGCTTGGGTGATCTGGAAGATAAGGCATATCTAGAACTGTCGCCATAACACAGAACACTGAAAATATGACTTTAGTATTTCACAATACATTTGAATGACTTACATTGTCAAATTAATTTAACTCTTTATCAATTAATTAAGACGAATTTTCTTATTTTGAGCCATTTCAAATATAGCCTGTGGGTATTACTGCTAAACAATCACGACCATCTATTAGACAATCTAGAATTTTGTTTTGTTCAGTTCAAATTTTGAATTGATATTAATATTTTTTGAAGATTAGTCTGAGATAGAAGTGGCCAGTAGAAGCTCAAGAAAGCTGCTTTCTGATTGGCTAATGTCGACTTCTCATTAGTTTATTGGTCATTCAAAGATCACAAAAGGTCGTATCGATGTGACCTGAAATGGGATGTCCTCAGATCTTTGTTTAGCGGTCGCGATAATAAGACCTGATTAAATGAGACTGTTTGCAACTAAACATAATGGCTGACATCAAGCTATGCACAGACCACAAACCACAATTCTACCATGAATTTGAAAAATACTTGATTCAGAACGCTCAAATCACAATAACCACCTTTTATAGAACAGCTGACAGTCTTATCACTTCCGAAGCTAATTAATATTTGAAACCTCATGCTGCACATTGGTGCCAAATTCCATTTAAACCTACAAGTAATCTATCACTACATCGAAAACGTGATGCCTTGATCTCCTAATTGACCATTTATAACACTCATTCCATGTGAGGGGGCACGGGTGGCCCAGTCGTCTAAGGCGCCACGATTCGCTGTGCAGAGTTGTGTCCCTTGGGCACGCCAGAAACCTATGATTGTGGGTTCGAATCCCCGTTCGCCCCGATTATGTTTCTAGGTTTGTCAGCACCATACCCGTGCTCGTGGGTTTCACCGAAGTGGTAAACGTCTGAGACCTGCATCACTTCGGGCTTTCCTCTAACATTAAGCTGACATGCCGTGATATAACTGGAATACTGGAAGCGGCGTTAAACCCAACTCACTCACTCACTCATTCCATGTGTAATTACCAAGCCAACAATAATGACTATGTTTAACACAGGTCTGCCACCTTACCTGTAGAGCATATGAAACAGACAGACCCACAATTCCACTGGGCAGATCTTTTGAAATAACAGAGAACAGAGCAGCAAACAGGACTATTGTGTTGCCTAGAAACTCCAGGCGGAACCCAAGCCATCTGAAATTAAAAACATCATCAACTTATTGAAAGACTTTCTGAGGGGGCTGAGGGGAGTGAGGGGACTGAGAGGACCGAGGGGACTGAGGGGACTGAGGGGCTGAGGGGGCTGAGAGGGCTGAGGGGGCTGAGGGGACTGAGGGGACTGAGGGGGCTGAGGGGGCTGAGAGGACTGAGGGGGCTGAGGGGGCAGAGGGACTGAGGTGACTGAGGGGGCTGAGGGGGCAGAGGGACTGAGGGGGCTGAGGGGGCAGAGGGACTGAGGGGGCTGAGGGGGCAGAGGGACTGAGGGGGCTGAGGGGGCAGAGGGACTGAGAGGACTGAGGGGGCTGAGGGGGCTGAGAGGACTGAGGGGCTGAGGGGGCTGAGGGGGCTGAGGGGGCTGAGAGGACTGAGAGGACTGAGGGGGCTGAGGGGGCTGAGAGGACTGAGGGGCTGAGGGGGCTGAGGGGGCTGAGAGGACTGAGAGGACTGAGGGGGCTGAGGGGGCAGAGGGACTGAGGGGGCTGAGGGGGCAGAGGGGCCTGAGGGGCCTGAGAGGACTGAGGGGGCTGAGGGGGCAGAGGGACTGAGGGGGCTGAGGGGGCAGAGGGGCCTGAGGGGGCTGAGGGGGTTGAGGGGACTGAGGGGGCTGAGGGGGCTGAGGGGGCTGAGGGGGCTGAGGGGGATGAGGGGGCTGAGGGGGCTGAGGGGGCTGAGGGGGATGAGGGGGATGAGGGGGCTGAGGGGGATGAGGGGGATGAGGGGGCTGAGGGGGCAGAGGGACTGAGGGGGCTGAGAGGACCATGCCGCAGTTTAACATGAATACCCCACTCAGACACGGTATACTGACTCCGAGCCGACCAGTCCTTGTTTTAGCCCCTTCATGCCGAGAGCCAGACAGGGTAACAACAAGTGCCATCTTTTAACGTCTTTTGGCATGAGGCGGTCGGGGATCGAACCCCGGACCTTCCGCTCTCCGGGCGGACGCTCTACCACTAGACCATGGAGGCGGTCCAATTGCTTATGTAGTGAACAACCTACACTCAATATGAATAGGGGGGCACGGGTGGCCCAGTTGTCTAAGGCGCCGCGATTCGTGTGCAGAGTTGCGTCCCTTGGACACACCAGAAACCTGTGATTGTGGGTTCGAATCCCGGTTCGCCCCGATTATGTTTCTAGGTTTGTCAGCACCATACCCGTGCTCGTGGGTTTCACCGAAGTGGTAAACGTCTGAGACCTGCATCACTTCGGGCTTTCCTCCCACATTAAGCTGACATGCCGTGATATAACTGGAATACTGTTAAAAGTGGCATTAAACCCAACTCACTCACTCACTCACTCAATATGAATAGGACCCGTGAAGATTCCGGGGTAGAATAGGTCTTCAGCAACCCACACTTGCCGTAAAAGGTGACTATGCTTGTCGTAAAAGGCGACTAACGGGATCGGGTGGTCAGTCTCGCTGACTTGGTTGATACATGCCATCGATCCCAATTGCGTGGGTCGATGCTCATGATGTCAATCGCTGGATTGTCTGGTCCAGACTCGATTATTTTACAGACCGTCGTCATATAGCTGGAATATTGCTGAGTGCGGCGTTAAACAACTAACAAACAAACAAACAATATGAATAGTGCATGAATAGTGAACACTCTTCAGCCCTTCATCACAAGAAACATACAAGTTCAGCTCCGTCAAACTATTGCTTGGCTGGCTGTGCATCAAGTCACCTGTTGGAGGCCAGGCTTGCGAAGTAGAAGACCAAGTTCTTGTCCACTCTCTGTGTGGATTCCTGGATGAATCTGTCGGTGACGTTGTACGCCCGTATGGACGAGGCGCCCGTTACCGTCTCCCCGAAATGGGAATAGATGGGGGATCTAGTGGTGGACTCCAGTCGCTTCAGCTGACGAGACGTCGCGATGTAGAATCTCTGAGGAAAGAGAGAGAGATAGGGGAATTGTGCACCACTGAGCAACAAGTATACTCACCGCCAAAAGAGTGAGTGAGTGAGTGAGTATGGTTTTACTCCGTTTTTAGCAATATTCCAACAATATCACAGCGGGGGACACCAGATATGGGCTTCACACATCGAACCCGGGTCTTCGGCATGACGAGCGAACGCTTTACCCACTAGGCTACCCAAACGCCCCCACCGCCAAAAGAAACGCGAATACCATACATTTTGGTTAATACTGTAAATCTTGAAAAAAATGCCAAAAATGCGACTCAAAAGCAATGTGACTCCCCCACCCCATCCCCAGTGGAATGATACACATCCATACCTTCATTCAACCATACCTTCATCCAATCAAACACAAATAGCATCGCTTATTAGCGCTGAGTAGACAACTTCCATAAAAAACAATAAACAGTGTTTTCCTAAAAAACAACACACAGTTATATGTTTGTTTTGTCAATATTCTGCTCAATTAACATGTGTGTGTTTATATTCAAGTGTGGAGACATTAATACGAAGTTTCATTTTTCGCACTTACCGTATTCGACGTAATAAGCGCCCTGCTCTAATAAGCGCCCACAGCGATATTTGCAAATAGATTGGCTAGTGAACAATCCCAATTAACAACCCTTCCGATTGATCAATGTACACAAGACTTATTTATTTGCGTATGATACACACTCATGTGTTATATGCACTGTTAATTATGGGCAATTAAATTCTCGAAAAATTTATGTCGTACATAATTATTTCAGGCTGTCAGCCTAAACCACAAAATTTACCTTTTAACTCTGTTTTTTTCACCAAAATAATATTCTAATAAGAGCCCCCTATTTCTAATTTTGAGAGCGCCCAGGGCGCTTATTACGTTGAATACGGCAATTCATGCTCGTGTTAATTTCAAGATTTGCAGTCTATTAAGAACTACTCATATTCAACAGATATTAGTGAGTGAGTGAGTGAGTGAGTGAGTGAGTGAGTGAGTGAGTGAGTGAGTGAGTGAGTGAGTGAGTGAGTGAGTGAGTGAGTGAGTGAGTGAGTGAGTGAGGTTTTGTGCCGCTTTTAGCAATATTCCAGCAATATCACAGCAGGGGACTCCAGAAATGGGCTTCACACTCAACAGATATTAGATTGGTTCGATGCACAAACGAACATACTGGTACGTTGTGTTAACCGATGCTCATAAACACTTCACATGTGACGTCATAGATCCATGACTCGAGATGCACCATTTGTCTCGTGAAGGATTAGCGTGTTAAGTTTGGAAATCATGTGCAACATATCGTGATAAGAACAAAGACACTCTGTGGTCACACTTGAACGATTGTGAGTTTTGTCATTAATTGTTACACATTGGACATCTCTTCTTAACGTACATACTTCTCTATTTGTTTCTATGGTTCGCGTTTCTTTTGGCAGTGAGTATACATCAGGGAATCCTGCATTGTATTGGGAACTAGTCAGTGTGAGAATGACTAGAGGGATATTGGTTGGTTGGTTGGTTGGCTGGTTTGTTGTTTAACGCGGCACTCAGCAATATTCCAGCTATATGACGGCGGTCTGTAAAATAATCAAGTCTGGACCAGACAATCCAGTGATTGATATCATGAGCATCAATCTGTGCAATTGGGACAAGATGACATGCATCAACCAAGTCAGTGAATCTGACCACCCAATCCCGTTAGTCGCCTTTTACGACAAGCATGGGTTGCTGAAGACCTATTCTACCCCGGAATCTTCACGGGCGATATCTCAGGGAATCCTGCATTGTATTGGAAACTAGTCAGTGTGACCATGACTAGGGGGATGTTGACCGACCTGCACCAGATAGTAGAGGTGAAGTTATAGGATCAGTGTTGTATTCAAGATTATTGCACTTACATAGCAACATGTGTGTGTGTGCGTGGTTACGAGTGGTCGCGTGTGTGTGTGGTTACTTGCATGGTTTCATGCCTGTGTGGTTGTGTGCGTGCTTGCGTGGTTGTATTCAAGATTATTGCACTTACATAGCAACATGTGCGTTCTGAGCCAACGGGGTCTTGTTTTATCCTTTAATGTCAAGTGCCAGGCAGGGAAACAACAAGTACCATCTTCTCAAAAGGAATGACGACTGACAGGAAGATGGGGGTACTGTACCTGCACCAGATAGTAGAGTATTGCAAGAGGAATGATGACTGACAGGAAGATGGGGGTGCTGTAGCTGATGACGATGAGGGTGCCCATCACGCTGAACACACAGTTGATCCACATTCGCAGGACGCCAGGCAGGTTGTTGTCCACAGTTTCCACGTCCCGAGAGAAGCGGTTGACGATGCGGCCGATGGGGGTGGTGTCGAAGAAGGACATGGGAGACCGGAGGATGTTGTACAGCATCTTGGCGTGGATGTTCCCCGCTGCCTGCACCATCCTCGTCGACGCCAGGATGGAGTAGAAGAGGATGACAACAGCTGAAACCATGGAAACAGGGCTTGAGGGATTTGTTTGTTTGTTTGTTTGTTTGTTTAACTCCTCACTCAGCAATATTCCAGCTATAAGTAAATAATCTCGCAATATTGAGGTACATGGTGTCTTCATAACACCGATGTAGGTGTATAAACCATGACTCTGAGGCACATGGTGTTTTTGAAACACCGAGGTACATGACGTTCTTGGTTTAGCAGTCGGGTGTATAAACCTACCCTGGACAACTCCAGTGTTCTTGTTCTGATAGTAAGAAGTGTTAACCAGGATTAAAGCGTTTGCTCTTCACGCCGAAGCCTCGGGTTCGATTCTCGACATGGGTACCATGTGTGAAGCCCATTCCTGGTGTCCCCCGTCGTGATATTGCTGGAATATTGCTAAAAGCAGCATAGAACTATACTCACTCACTCACTCCCGTAACACCAAGGTACATGGTGTTCTAATCATACTGAGGTACATGATGTCTTCGTAACACCGAGGTACATGGCGTTCTTGTCACACCAAGGTACATGGTGTTCTAATCATACTGAGGTACATGTCTTCGTAACACCGAGGTACATGGCGTTCTTGTCACACCGAGGTACATGGTGTTGTAATCATACTGAGGTACATGATGTCTTCGTAACACCGAGGTACATGGCGTTCTTGTCACACCAAGGTACATGGTGTTGTAATCATACTGAGGTACATGATGTCTTCGTAACACCGAGGTACATGGCGTTCTCGTCACACCAAGGTACATGGTGTTCTAATCATACTGAGGTACATGATGTCTTCGTAACACCGAGGTACATGGCGTTCTTGTCACACCGAGGTACATGGTGTTGTAATCATACTGAGGTACATGATGTCTTCGTAACACCGAGGTACATGGCGTTCTTGTCACACCGAGGTACATGGTGTTCTAATCATACTGAGGTACATGATGTCTTTGTAACACCGAGGTACATGGTGTTCTTGGTTTAGCAGTCGGGTGTATAAACCTACCCTGAACAACTCCGAAGGCCCCGTAGACACCGAGGTACATGGTGTTCTTGGTTTAGCAGTCGGGTGTATAAACCTACCCTGAACAACTCCGAAGGCCCCGCGAACTCCGAGGTACATGGTGTTCTTGGTTTAGCAGTCGGGTGTATAAACCTACCCTGGACGACTCCGAAGGCCCCGTAGACTCCAAGGTACATGGTGTTCTTGGTTTAGCAGTCGGGTGTATAAACCTACCCTGGACGACTCCGAAGGCCCCGTAGACTCCGAGGTACATGGTGTTCTTGTTCTGATAGTCGGAAGTGTTAACCAGACTCAAGTTTTTCAGCAGGGCGTCGTCCGTCCACATGCTGATCCAGATGTTGGAGGCCATGGTGGCCGCCTGGTATATGGCGAAGATGAAGAAGATGAAGAATGTGGTGATGCCGCCGATGGCTTTAGCGTAGTCCATGAACACGGAGAACTTCACCTGAAGCAGACAGCAACATGACAGTTGAGGAGAGAGTTCAGCAGTATAAGCATGTGGCATATTTAACCAATCAGCTTCCCTATTGTCCATCAACACGACAATGACAAACCAGCTTTACTTTTTAAGGCAGCACTATCAATTGTGTTTGGAAGGAATCAAAAGTTTTGGATAGGTTGAAATGATTTTAGAAAGCTTCTTTATCCAATGTATGTAATCCAGAAAGCCCTGACAATGTGTTCCACCAGAAAGCCCTGACAATGTGTTCCACCAGAAAGCCATGACAATGTGTTCCACAAGAAGCCCTGACAATGTATTCCACCAGAAGCCCTGACAAGGTGTTCACAAGAAGTCCTGACAATGTGTCTACCAGAAAGCCCTGACATGTTCCACCAGAAAGCCCTGACAATGTCTTGTTGGCAAATTCTAAAATGTCCGGTTTGCACTAGTTCAAATCGGACATTTTGCAGTCACAATCTGGCACACAGACCGGACTCCGTCTCCCTGGTTCCACCATCACTGACCCTGCCTGTCTCCGACTTCTCCTCTTGGATCAGCTTGTCTCCTGACCCGGTGTCTTTGGGCTTGTCTGTCAACTTCTTGCCTGCGTCAGCTACTACTGATAGCTTCCGGTTCAACTTGCTTTTCCTGATAGAGAGAAGAGAGACTAGTGTTGCATGCAATGTTCAATGTCATCAGCTCTGTACTGGAGACTAACATGTTATTTAGGACAATGTCTTCAGAGCATTCCGTTACGGTAGCTGTTGTTTTACACAAAATATATATGCTGACTAAGGATCTGAAGTACATGTTCCATTGAACAAGCTTACATTTCCGCAGGCATCAAAGTTGAAGGGGGGCACGGGTGGCCCAGTCGTCTAAGGCGCCACGATTCTTTGTGCCGAATTGCGTCCCTTGGGCATGCCAGAAACCTATGATTTTGGGTTCGAATCCCGGTTCGCCTCGATTATGTTTCTAGGTATGTCAGCACCATACCCGTGCTTGTGGGTTTCACCGAAGTGGTAAACGTCTGAGACCTGCATCACTTCGGGCTTTCCTCCCACATTAAGCTTACACGCCGTGATATAACTGGAATACTGTTAAAAGCGGCGTTAAACACAGCTCACTTACTCAAAGTTGAAACTCCCATGCAGAGGGTGTCCTACACAGATCGGACGTTTACCACATTGGTGAAACCCACGAGCACGGATATGGTGCAGACAAACCAAGACACGTAATCAAGGCGAGCCTGGATTTGAACCCACGATCATAGGATTCTGGCAGCCTAGGGGAAGTAACTAGGTAATTATGCGCCTTAGATGACAGGGCCGACCGTGCTCCCTTGGAAGATCTAAAGAAATGCTCCAAATCATCTTACCTTATCCCTTCATCCCCTAAGGTCACAGTGTCTGACGTAACAGACAAACCAAGACACATAATCAAGGCGAGCCTGCATTTGAACCCACGATCATAGGATTCTGGCGTGCTCCCTGGGAAGATCATCTTACCTTATCCCTTCATCCCCTGAGGTCACAGCGTCTGACGTAACGGACTCCACCCTCTGAAGGATCCTCGACTTCATCTCTTGGACTGCAACAACATGGTACTGACTGAAGTTAAACAACTCACATCACATTTTCAAAAGAAAGAACACACCATGCCAATGAAAGTGGTCAAATGTAATAAATGTTATATTTGGGATAACACTTTCTGAGTAAAGTACAGATTCTCGTTCCTTTTGGGGTTGAGTCCTGTCCGGAATTCGAACTCACACTGCCAGAGTGAGGCACCTTACTAATATTGTGTTGCCTACCAACAAAAAAAGTACTATTCTATGAATATTAGCTTCTGCTGTGATGCAGTCGTCAACCAGCTGTTTCAATCAGAGCAGAAAAAGACATTTGCATCAAATTCAAACAGAAATAGAAATTGCAACCATATGATTTCTTAAAGAATCATTATTGGACACATCTTATCGAGATGGTAAAATCTAAACATTCACCTGCTGGCATCATTTTACTTTTACACAGTTACAAATAGCAAAATGAGTTGTTTATCATGTATTTTGTGTTAAACAATTCATGTCCACTGACTCTCAGGGTCGTCCTCCTCGTCAGAGCCATCGTGCTGGGTGAGGTAGGTCTTCAGGAACTGGGCGAAGGCTCCGTCGTGACTCAGGAGCTCGTCATACGTCCCCATCTCCGTGATCTCACCATCCACCAGCACCACGACCATATCTGTCATTGGCAGCCAGTGCACACCATGGGTCACCAACAGTCGAGTCTGCAAGATCATCGTACTTATAACCAATCAGACAAACGAAGGACAGGATGGGTCACCAACAGTCGAGTCTGCAAGACCATCATACTTATAACCAATCAGGCAAACGAAGGACACGATGGGTCACCAACAGTCGAGTCTGCAAGATCAGTGTACTTATAACCAATCAGACAAACAAATGACACCATGGGTCACCAACAGTCGAGTCTGCAAGACCAGTGTACTTATAACCAATCAGACAAACAAAGGACACCATCGGTCACCAACAGTTGAGTCTGCAAGACCATCGTACTTATAACCAATCAGACAAACAAAGGACACCATCGGTCACCAACAGTCGAGTCTGCAAGACCATCGTACTTATAACCAATCAGACAAACAAAGGACACCATCGGTCACCAACAGTCGAGTCTGCAACACCATCGTACTTATAACCAATCAGACAAACAAAGGACACCATCGGTCACCAACAGTCGAGTCTGTGACACCATCGTACTTATAACCAATCAGACAAACAAAGGTCACCATGGGTCACCAACAGTCGAGTCTGTGACACCATCGTACTTATAACCAATCAGACAAACAAAGGTCACCATGGGTCACCAACAGTCGAGTCTGTGACACCATCGCACTTATAACCAATCAGACAAACGAATGACACCATGGGTCACCAACAGTCGAGTCTGCAACACCATCATACTTATAACCAATCAGACAAACGAAGGAAACCATAACTGCCAACATCTCACCTTGTGTAACAGAAAGCCTTATAGTCGACCATAACTGCCAACATCTCACCTTGTGTAACAGAAAGCCTTATAGTCGACCATAACTGCCAACATCTCACTTTGTGTCACAGAATACCTTATAGTCGACCGTAACTGCCAACGTCTCACCTTGTGTAACAGAATGCCTTATAGTTGACCATAACTGCCAACGTCTCACTTTGTGTCACAGAATACCTTATAGTCGACCATAACGGCCAACGTCTCACCTTGTGTAACAGAATGCCTTATAGTTGACCATAACTGCCAACGTCTCACCTTGTGTAACAGAATGCCTTATAGTCGACCATAACTGCCAACGTCTCACCTTGTGTCGCAGAATTCCTTTATGGCCGACAACTTCCTGGAAAATATGTTTCCCCACGTGGGAGTCGACAGCGCTCAGAGGGTCATCCAGGAGGTAGATGTCGGCGTCACTGTAGATGGCCCGAGCCAGGGACACACGCTGCTTCTGTCCCCCACTGAGGTTGATGCCCTGGGAAGGAAACACAAAACACAGTATTTAAGCTTTATTTATTTCATTGTCAGAGAGTGATTGTGGAGATATGAGCATCGATCCATGCTGTTGATGTACATCTATACGCAGTTAACCAAGTCACAGAGCCTAACCGTCTGATCCATTCATTCACCTCTTAGGCCACTTACACCCTGCCAGCTGGGTTCCCAATTTAGTCACCTCAAGATAACTTCTACTACTACTACTACCACTACCACTACCACTACCAGTGCCACTGCCGCTAATGCTACAACTACTACTACTACTACTACAACTACTAGTAGTACTACTTCTACTACTACTACTACTACCACTACCAGTGCCACTGCCGCTACTGCTACAACTACTACTACTACTACAACTACTAGTATTACTACTAGTAGTACTACTTCTACTACCACTACCACTACCAGTGCCACTGCCGCTAAAACTACTACTACTACTACAACTACTAGTATTACTACTAGTAGTACTACTTCTACTAGTAGTACTACTTCTACTACTACTACTACTACCACTACCACTGCCGCTACAACTACTACTACTACTACTACTACAACTACTAGTATTACTACTAGTAGTACTACTTCTACTAGTAGTACTACTTCTACTACTACTACCACTACCACTGCCGCTACTGCTACAACTACTACTACTACTACTACTACTAGTACTTCTACTAGTACTACTACTTCTACTACTACTACTACTACTACTACTACCACTACCTCTACCACAGCCGCTGCCGCTACTACTACTACCACTACTACCACTATCTATGCCGCTACTACTGCTGCTGCTACTACTCATGATAATAATTGTGAAACATCCAGATTACTAACTAGGGCTGGGACGATACACCAACTGTGCAGTTGCCCACGATCTGATATCACGATACATGCACATGCTCTTATCTGTGGTGCGTAAGCCATCTTTTTCATAGACAGGATGGGCCAAATACCTGGCGCACTAACAATTTACTGTTGGCAGTGTGAAGTATGGGGCATTTCACTGCCCATTTCCACTTGTAATTGTTGTTTAGTGCAACATTTATTGAAGAATACATTTAAGGTAAGAATTGATACTTTTTACTCAATGTGCAATCGTGATCAATAAGGAAAATAATCGCGATCCACTGATGCATTGGTGTATGGTCCCACTACTACTACTACTACTGACCTGTGAAGATCGTGGGTAGAATAGGTCTTCAGCCACCCATGCTTGCTGTAAAAGGTGACTATGCTTGTCGTAAGAGGCGACTGACGGGATCGGGTGGTCAGGCTCTCTGACTTTATTGATGCATGTCATCGATCCCAATTGCATGGATCGATGCTCATGATATTAATCACTGGATTGTCTGGTCCAGACTCGATTACTTACAGACCACCGTCATATAGCTGGAATATTGCTGAGTGCGGTGCAAACAAACAAACAAACAAACAAACAAACTACTACAACTACTACTACTACTACTACTACTACTATTTCTAAAATGTCCAGATTACCACTTTCAACCTACTTTCTCTCCTATTTCTGTCATATCTTTTCCAGGCAATATCTCGAGGTCGGAGGTCAAGGCACAAGCCTCAACAATTTTCTTGTACTTCTTCTCATTGTGTTCCTGCCCAAAGGTGATGTTGTCTCGCAGAGTGGCATTCTGGATCCACGCTTCTTGGGGCACATATGCAATGGAGCTCTGAAAGTCAGATTTCAAAATAATCTATAAGGAATGAAATGGTTTCAAGATAATATTGAGACAAACTGAAGTCACCATGTCATGACCTGCTTTTTTTGTAACGTGCAAGCTTTGGCAAATTGACAATCATATTGGGGAGATGCTCTAACCTGGTGTTAGGGGCTGAAACATCCCTCTGGCCAGTTCTTCCCGGGGAAGTTAGAGCCAGGGTCAGTACTTCCCAACCCCTGGCCAGTTCTTCCTGGGGAAGTTAGAGCCAGGGTCAGTACTTCCCAACCCCTGGCCAGTTCTTCCCGGGGGATTAGAGCCAGGGTCAGCACTTCCCAACCCCTGGCCAGTTCTTCCCGGGGGATTAGAGCCAGGGTCAGTACTTCCCAACCCCTGGCCAGTCCTTCCCGGGGAAGTTAGAGCCAGGGTCAGCACTTCCCAACCCCTGACCAGTTCTTCCCGGGGAAGCTAGAGCCAGGGTCAGTACTTCCCAACCCCTGGCCAGTTCTTCCTGGGGAAGTTAAAGCCAGGGTCAGTACTTCCCAACCCCTGGCCAGTTCTTCCCGGGGGATTAGAGCCAGGGTCAGTACTTCCCAACCCCTGACCAGTTCTTCCCGGGGAAGTTAGAGCCAGGGTCAGTACTTCCCAACCCCTGGCCAGTTCTTCCCGGGGAAGTTAGAGCCAGGGTCAGCACTTCCCAACCCCTGGCCAGTTCTTCCTGGGGAAGTTAGAGCCAGGGTCAGTACTTCCCAACCCCTGGCCAGTTCTTCCCGGGGGATTAGAGCCAGGGTCAGTACTTCCCAACCCCTGACCAGTTCTTCCTGGAGAAGTTAGAGCCAGGGTCAGTACTTCCCAACCCCTCGCCAGTTCTTCCCGGGGGATTAGAGCCAGGGTCAGTACTTCCCAACCCCTGGCCAGTTCTTCCCGGGGAAGTTAGAGCCAGGTTCAGTACTTCACAACCCCTGGCCAGTTCTTCCTGGGGAAGTTAGAGCCAGGGTCAGTACTTCCCAACCCCTGGCCAGTTCTTCCCGGGGAAGTTAGAGCCAGGGTCAGTACTTCCCAACCCCTGGCCAGTTCTTCCTGGGGAAGTTAAAGCCAGGGTCAGTACTTCCCAACCCCTGGCCAGTTCTTCCTAGGGAGGTTAGAGCCAGGCTCAGTACTTCCCAACCCCTGACCAGTTCTTCCCGGGGGATTAGAGCCAGGGTCAGCACTTCCCAACCCCTGGCCAGTTCTTCCCGGGGAAGTAAGAGCCAGGTTCAGTACTTCCCAACCCCTGACCAGTTCTTCCTGGGGAAGTTAGAGCCAGGGTCAGTACTTCCCAACCCCTGGCCAGTTCTTCCTGGGGAGGTTAGAGCCAGGGTCAGCACTTCCCAACCCCTGACCAGTTCTTCCCAGGGGATTAGAGCCAGGGTCAGCACTTCCCAACCCCTGGCCAGTTCTTCCCGGGGAAGTTAGAGCCAGGTTCAGTACTTCCCAACCCCTGACCAGTTCTTCCTGGGGAAGTTAGAGCCAGGTTCAGTACTTCCCAACCCCTGACCAGTTCTTCCTGGGGAAGTTAGAGCCAGGGTCAGCACTTCTAACCCCTGGCCAGTTCTTCCCGGGGAAGTTAGAGCCAGGGTAAGTACTTCCCAACCCCTAGCCAGTTCATCCCGGGTAAGTTAGAGCCAGGGTCAGCACTTCCCAACCCCTGACCAGTTCTTCCTGGGGAAGTTAGAGCCAGGGTCAGCACTTCCCAACCCCTGGCCAGTTATTCCTGGGGAAGTTAGAGCCAGGGTCAGTACTTCCTAACACCTGGCCAGTTCTTCCCGGGGAAGTTAGAGCCAGGGTCAGCACTTCCCAACCCCTGGCCAGTTATTCCCGGGGAAGTTAGAGCCAGGGTCAGCACTTCCCAACCCCTGGCCAGTTATTCCTGGGGAAGTTAGAGCCAGGGTCAGCACTTCCTAACACCTTGCCAGTTGTGTTGGGAGTGTCACGTTGTGTTGGGAGTGTCACGTTGTGTTGGGAGTGTCATGTTGTGTTGGGAGGGTCACATTGTGTTGGGAGGGTCATGTTGTGTTTGGAGGGTCATGTTGTGTTGGGAGTGTCATGTTGTGTTGGGAGGGTCATGTTGTGTTGGGAGTGTCATGTTGTGTTGGGAGTGTCATGTTGTGTTGGGAGTGTCATGTTGTGTTGGGAGGGTCATGTTGTGTTGGGAGTGTCACGTTGTGTTGGGAGGGTCACATTGTGTTGGGAGGTTCATGTTGTGTTTGGAGGCTCATGTTGTGTTGGGAGGGTCACATTGGGTTTGGAGGGTCATGTTGTGTTGGGAGGGTCACATTGTGTTTGGAGGGTCACGTTGTGTTCCCAGGGTCATGTTGTGTTTGGAGGCTCATGCTGTGTTGGGAGTGTCATGTTGTGTTGGGAGTGTCACGTTGTGTTGGGAGGGTCATGTTGTGTTGGGAGTGTCATGTTGTGTTGGGAGTGTCATGTTGTGTTGGGAGTGTCATGTTGTGTTGGGAGGGTAATGTTGTGTTGGGAGGGTCACGTTGTGTTGGGAGGGTCATGTTGTGTTGGGAGTGTCATGTTGTGTTGGGAGTGTCATGTTGTGTTGTGAGGGTCATGTTGTGTTGTGAGGGTCATGTTGTGTTTGGAGTGTCATGTTGTGTTGGGAGTGTCATGTTGTGTTGGGAGGGTCATGTTGTGTTGGGAGTGTCATGTTGTGTTGGGAGTGTCATGTTGTGTTGGGAGGGTGATGTTGTGTTGGGAGGGTCACATTGGGTTTGGAGGGTCATGTTGTGTTGGGAGGGTCATGTTGTGTTGGGAGGGTCATGTTGTGTTGGGAGGGTCATGTTGTGTTGGGAGGGTCATGTTGTGTTTGGAGGGTCATGTTGTGTTGGGAGGGTCACGTTGTGTTGGGAGGCTCATGTTGTGTTGGGAGTGTCATGTTGTGTTTGGAGGGTCATGTTGTGTTGTGAGGGTCATGTTGTGTTTGGAGTGTCATGTTGTGTTGGGAGTGTCATGTTGTGTTGGGAGGGTCATGTTGTGTTGGGAGTGTCATGTTGTGTTGGGAGTGTCATGTTGTGTTGGGAGGGTGATGTTGTGTTGGGAGGGTCACATTGGGTTTGGAGGGTCATGTTGTGTTTGGAGGGTCATGTGTTGGGAGGGTCATGTTGTGTTGGGAGGGTCATGTTGTGTTTGGAGGGTCATGTTGTGTTGGGAGGGTCATGTTGTGTTGGGAGGGTCATGTTGTGTTGGGAGGGTCATGTTGTGTTGGGAGGGTCACATTGGGTTTGGAGGGTCATGTTGTGTTGGGAGGGTCACGTTGTGTTGGGAGGGTCACGTTGTGTTGGGAGGCTCATGTTGTGTTGGGAGGGTCACGTTGTGTTGGGAGGGTCACGTTGTGTTGGGAGGCTCATGCTGTGTTGGGAGTGTCATGTTGTGTTTGGAGGGTCATGTTGTGTTGGGAGGGTCACGTTGTGTTGGGAGGCTCATGTTGTGTTGGGAGTGTCATGTTGTGTTTGGAGGGTCATGTTGTGTCGGGAGGGTCATGTTGTGTTTGGAGGGTCATGTTGTGTTGGGAGCGTCATGTTGTGTTGGGAGTGTCATGTTGTGTTGGGAGCGTCATGTTGTGTTGGGAGTGTCATGCTGTGCTGGGAGTGTCATGTTGTGTTGGGAGTGTCATGTTGTGTTGGGAGGGTCATGTTGTGTTGGGAGGGTCATGTTGTGTTGGGAGTGTCATGTTGTGTTGGGAGGGTCATGTTGTGTTGGGAGTGTCATGTTGTGTTGGGAGTGTCATGTTGTGTTGGGAGGGTCATGTTGTGTTGGGAGGGTCATGTTGTGTTGGGAGGGTCACATTGTGTTTGGAGGGTCATGTTGTGTTGGGAGTGTCATGTTGTGTTGGGAGGATCATGTTGTGTTGGGAGTGTCATGTTGTGTTGGGAGGGTCACATTGTGTTTGGAGGGTCATGTTGTGTTGGGAGTGTCATGTTGTGTTGGGAGGGTCACATTGGGTTTGGAGGGTCATGTTGTGTTTGGAGGCTCATGTTGTGTTGGGAGGGTTACATTGTGTTTGGAGTGTCATGTTGTGTTGGGAGGGTCACATTGGGTTTGGAGGGTCACGTTGTGTTGGGAGGGTCATGTTGTGTTGGGAGGGTCACATTGTGTTTGGAGGCTCATGTTGTGTTGGGAGGGTCACATTGTGTTTGGAGGCTCATGTTGTGTTGGGAGGGTCATGTTGTGTTTGGAGGGTCATGTTGTGTTGGGAGGGTCACGTTGTGTTTGGAGGGTCATGTTGTGTTGGGAGTGTCACGTTGTGTTGGGAGTGTCATGTTGTGTTGGGAGTGTCATGTTGTGTTGGGAGTGTCATGTTGTGTTGGGAGGGTCATGTTGTGTTGGGAGGGTCATGTTGTGTTTGGAGGCTCATGTTGTGTTGGGAGGGTCACGTTGTGTTTGGAGGGTCATGTTGTGTTGGGAGGGTCACGTTGTGTTTGGAGGGTCATGTTGTGTTGGGAGGGTCACATTGTGTTTGGAGGCTCATGTTGTGTTGGCAGGGTCACATTGTGTTTGGAGGCTCATGTTGTGTTGGGAGGGTCACGTTGTGTTTGGAGGGTCATGTTGTGTTGGGAGGGTCACGTTGTGTTTGGAGGGTCATGTTGTGTTGGGAGTGTCACGTTGTGTTGGGAGTGTCATGTTGTGTTGGGAGTGTCATGTTGTGTTGGGAGTGTCATGTTATGTTGGGAGGGTCATGTTGTGTTGGGAGGGTCACATTGTGTTTGGAGGGTCATGTTGTGTTGGGAGGGTCACGTTGTGTTTGGAGGGTCATGTTGTGTTGGGAGGGTCACGTTGTGTTTGGAGGGTCATGTTGTGTTGGGAGGGTCACGTTGTGTTTGGAGGGTCATGTTGTGTTGGGAGTGTCATGTTGTGTTGGGAGGGTCATGTTGTGTTGGGAGTGTCATGTTGTGTTGGGAGTGTCACGTTGTGTTGGGAGGGTCATGTTGTGTTGGGAGGGTCACGTTGTGTTGGGAGTGTCATGTTGTGTTGGGAGGGTCACGTTGTGTTGGGAGGCTCATGTTGTGTTGGGAGTGTCATGTTGTGTTGGGAGGGTCACGTTGTGTTGGGAGTGTCATGTTGTGTTGGGAGTGTCATGTTGTGTTGGGAGTGTCATGTTGTGTTGGGAGGGTCATGTTGTGTTGGGAGGGTCATGTTGTGTTTGGAGGCTCATGTTGTGTTGGGAGGGTCACGTTGTGTTTGGAGGGTCATGTTGTGTTGGGAGGGTCACGTTGTGTTTGGAGGGTCATGTTGTGTTGGGAGGGTCACATTGTGTTTGGAGGCTCATGTTGTGTTGGCAGGGTCACATTGTGTTTGGAGGCTCATGTTGTGTTGGGAGGGTCACGTTGTGTTTGGAGGGTCATGTTGTGTTTGGAGGGTCATGTTGTGTTGGGAGTGTCACGTTGTGTTGGGAGTGTCATGTTGTGTTGGGAGTGTCATGTTGTGTTGGGAGTGTCATGTTGTGTTGGGAGGGTCATGTTGTGTTGGGAGGGTCACATTGTGTTTGGAGGGTCATGTTGTGTTGGGAGGGTCACGTTGTGTTTGGAGGGTCATGTTGTGTTGGGAGGGTCACGTTGTGTTTGGAGGGTCATGTTGTGTTGGGAGGGTCACGTTGTGTTTGGAGGGTCATGTTGTGTTGGGAGTGTCATGTTGTGTTGGGAGGGTCATGTTGTGTTGGGAGTGTCATGTTGTGTTGGGAGTGTCACGTTGTGTTGGGAGGGTCATGTTGTGTTGGGAGTGTCATGTTGTGTTGGGAGGGTCATGTTGTGTTGGGAGGGTCACGTTGTGTTGGGAGTGTCATGTTGTGTTGGGAGGGTCACGTTGTGTTGGGAGGCTCATGTTGTGTTGGGAGTGTCATGTTGTGTTGGGAGGGTCACATTGTGTTTGGAGGCTCATGCTGTGTTGTGAGTGTCACGTTTTGTTGGGAGTGTCATGTTGTGTTGGGAGTGTCATGTTGTGTTGGGAGGGTCATGTTGTGTTGGGAGTGTCATGTTGTGTTGGGAGGGTCATGCTGTGTTGGGAGGGTCATGTTGTGTTGGGAGTGTCACGTTGTGTTGGGAGGGTCACATTGTGTTGGGAGTGTCATGTTGTGTTGGGAGTGTCATGTTGTGTTGGGAGTGTCATGTTGTGTTAGGAGGGTCATGCTGTGTTGGGAGTGTCATGTTGTGTTGGGAGGGTCATGTTGTGTTGGGAGTGTCATGTTGTGTTGGGAGGGTCATGTTGTGTTGGGAGGGTCACGTTGTGTTGGGAGGCTCATGCTGTGTTGGGAGCGTCACGTTGTGTTGGGAGTGTCACGTTGTGTTGGGAGTGTCACGTTGTGTTGGGAGTGTCATGTTTTGTTGGGAGGGTCATGTTGTGTTGGGGGTGTCACGTTGTGTTTGGAGGGTCATGTTGTGTTGGGAGGGTCACGTTGTGTTTGGAGGGTCATATTGTGTTGGGAGTGTCACGTTGTGTTGGGAGGGTCATGCTGTGTTGGGAGGGTCACGTTGTGTTTGGAGGGTCATGTTGTGTTGGGAGTGTCATGTTGTGTTGGGAGTGTCATGTTGTGTTGGGAGTGTCACGTTGTGTTGGGAGGGTCATGTTGTGTTGGGAGGGTCACATTGTGTTTGGAGGCTCATGTTGTGTTGGGAGGGTCACGTTGTGTTTGGAGGGTCATGTTGTGTTGGGAGTGTCATGTTGTGTTGGGAGGGTCATGCTGTGTTGGGAGTGTCACGTTGTGTTGGGAGTGTCACATTGTGTTGTGAGGGTTATGTTGTGTTGGGAGTGTCATGTTGTGTTGGGAGTGTCATGTTGTGTTGGGAGTGTCACGTTGTGTTGGGAGGGTCATGTTGTGTTGGGAGTGTCATGTTGTGTTGGGAGTGTCACGTTGTGTTGGGAGGGTCATGTTGTGTTGGGAGGGTCACATTGTGTTTGGAGGCTCATGTTGTGTTGGGAGGGTCACGTTGTGTTTGGAGGGTCATGTTGTGTTGGGAGTGTCATGTTGTGTTGGGAGGGTCATGCTGTGTTGGGAGTGTCACGTTGTGTTGGGAGGGTCACATTGTGTTGGGAGGGTCATGTTGTGTTGGGAGGGTCACATTGTGTTTGGAGGCTCATGTTGTGTTGGGAGGGTCACATTGTGTTTGGAGGGTCACATTGTGTTTGGAGGGTCATGTTGTGTTGGGAGGGTCACATTGTGTTGGGAGGGTCATGTTGTGTTGGGAGTGTCATGTTGTGTTGGGAGTGTCATGTTGTGTTGGGAGGGTCATGTTGTGTTGGGAGTGTCATGTTGTGTTGGGAGTGTCATGTTGTGTTGGGAGGGTCATGCTGTGTTGGGAGGGTCATGTTGTGTTGGGAGGGTCACATTGTGTTTGGAGGGTCATGTTGTGTTGGGAGTGTCATGTTGTGTTGGGAGTGTCATGTTGTGTTGGGAGGGTCATGTTGTGTTGGGAGTGTCATGTTGTGTTGGGAGTGTCACGTTGTGTTGGGAGGCTCATGCTGTGTTGGGAGTGTCATGCTGTGTTGGGAGTGTCATGCTGTGTTGGGAGTGTCATGTTGTGTTTGGAGGCTCATGCTGTGTTGGGAGGGTCACATTGTGTTGGGAGGGTCAAGTTGTGTTGCCAAGGTCACATTGTGTTGCCAGGGTCATGCTGTGTTTGGAGGGTCCTGTTGCTTACCTTGACTGTGACACTGCCGCTGAGTTTGTCCATCTCACCCAGCATGGCGGAGATGAGTGAGGACTTCCCCGCCCCCACCTGGCCCACCACGGCCACCAGCTTTCCCTCAGGGATCTCAAGGTTCATTCTGAGGAAAGTAAGAAATATATGTCAGTAGGTCTCTACAGGGAACTGGCCCAACACCGCCACCAGCTTTCCCTGGGGGATCTCCAGGTTCATTCTGAGGAAAGTCAGAAATATATGTCAGTAGGTCTCCACAGGGGAACTGGCTAACCACCGCCACCAGCTTTCCCTCAGGGATCTCAAGGTTCATTCTGAGGAAAGTCAGAAATATATGTCAGTAGGTCTCTACAGGGAACTGGCCCAACACCGCCACCAGCTTTCCCTGGGGGATCTCCAGGTTCATTCTGAGGAAAGTCAGAAATATATGTCAGTAGGTCTCCACAGGGGAACTGGCTAACCACCGCCACCAGCTTTCCCTCGGGGATCTCAAGGTTCATTCTGAGGAAAGTCAGAAATATATGTCAGTAGGTCTCTACAGGGAACTGGTCCAACACCGCCACCAGCTTTCCCTCAGGGATCTCAAGGTTCATTCTGAGGAAAGTCAGAAATATATGTCAGTAGGTCTCCACAGGGGAACTGGCTAACCACCGCCACCAGCTTTCCCTCGGGGATCTCCAGGTTCATTCTGAGGAAAGTCAGAAATATATGTCAGTAGGTCTCCACAGGGGAACTGGCTAACCACCGCCACCAGCTTTCCCTCGGGGATCTCAAGGTTCATTCTGAGGAAAGTCAGAAATATATGTCAGTAGGTCTCTACAGGGAACTGGGCCACCACTTCAGTCTCAGGTTCACTCTGGGAAGTCAGAAATAAAGTCAGTAGTAATTAACAGGGGGAACTCGCCTATCAGTGCAACCAATTCGCTGTGCAGAGTTGTGTCTCTAAGTTCGGCCAGGATCTGCGGGTCACAGGTTTGAAAACCAGATTGGCACACATTATGACACCTGCTCCTGGTTTCATGAAAAACATTTACAAATGACATCGCTCGTAGAGTTTCATTTCAGCCTGAAGGCTGAATGTTTGAAGAAGAGCACTCAAGGGAGAATGTCTGTCACCTAGCGGAGCCATGGAAGCTACCTGTGTGAGATTGGTTGGTTGGTTGGTTGGTTTGTTGTTTTACGCCACACTCAGCAATATTCCAGCTATATGACGGCGGTCTGTAAATAATCGAGTCTGGACCAGACAATCCAGTGATTAATATCATGAGCATCGATCCACGCCTTTGGGATCGATGACATGCATCAACCAAGCCAGCGAGCCTGACCACCCGATCCTGTTAGTCGCCTTTTACGACAAGCATGGATTGCTGAAGACCTATTCTACCCCGAACCTTCACGGGTCTAACCGTGTGAGATGTCGACTGAAGCACAGATTTCATTAATAGTTGGCCCTCTGCTGTTTATACTGTCCACGAGCCAGAATTTCCTATCAGTGTCCCGATTCGCAGTACAGAGTACATTCCCTTAGTTGTACCAGGATCCACTGATGACAAGATCCTGGTCCTGTTAGCACCCTCCACCTGTTCGAATGTTCACCAATGTGGTAAAGATTTACAAAGTGCATTACTTTGGACTGACATGCTGTGATGTTACTGAAAAGCTGCCTGAACAGTTTGAGAGTTACCAATTACACCCCCCACACCACCCCACACCACCCCACACCACCCCTGACCCGAATGAAACAGCCACTTCGTCATGTAACATAAGTGGTATTCACAGCTGCATAAACATTATTCATCTTTTCATCCAGTCACAGAGAAACAGATTCCATCGGGCGAGAAAAGAAACAAGGTCGCGAAAAATTAGGGGGTGGATCACTGAAATTCAGCGATGACACCAGGGGTATCAGCAGCACCCTACACTGACACAATTTGCAAAAACGTATGTGTTTTTTAGGCACGACACGGGAGTACTCCTGCCATGCCACGCCGGCATGCAAACATAGCAGACAATCAAGTGATGGACCGGATGGTTTGTTTTGTTTGTTTGTTGTTTAACGCTGCACCCCGCAATATTCCAGCTATATGACAGCGGTCTGTAAATAATCGAGTCTGGATCAGCCAATCCAGTGATAGACATCATGAGAATCGATCCACGCAATTGAGATACGACGACATGCATCAACCAAGTCAGCGAGCCTGACCACCCAATCCTGTAAGTCGCCTCTAACAACAAATATAGTCGCCTTTTACACTTTTAAGCTTGTGAGTAAGACCAAAAGTAAAGCACTGATCCTAATTATTAGTGGCCCTCTGCTGTTTTTACTGTCCACGAGCCAGAGGACCAGTAGTTAGAATGACTCACTTCCTTAGGGTAGGTTTGGGCAGCTCTCTGTCCCAAGTGAAATTCCCTTGCTCAACCTTGATAGCCGCATCTGAAACATTTGACGCCATCCGAATCAACCATGTTCGTATATTCCTGAGTCTTATACAGGGTCAGGGAGTTGCGCGGTGCTTATTATGTTGAATACGGTATATCATTTTCAGGTAAAATTATCAAAGTCCTGTACAAGCAATATACTTTGATATTTTTACCTGAAAATGATATCACGTATTCAATGTAATAAGCGCCCCGCTCTAATAAGATATTTGCTAATATATTGGCCAATGAACAATCCCAATTAGCACCCCTTCCGATCAATGGACACAAGGGTCATTTATTTGTGTATATTACGCACTCGTGTGTTATATGCACCCTTAATTATGGGCAATTAAATTCTGGAAAAATATGTCTGTCGTATGTAAACACTTCAGGCTGTCAGTATAAACCATGAAATTTACGATCTTTCAACTCTGTTTTTTTCACCAAAATAATATTCTAATGAGAGCCCCCTGGGCGCTTATTACGTCGAATACAGTACATAAAATATCAGTTATACCATCCTCTTAAAACCGAGAGTTAGTGACTGTCACTGTTGTGTGAGATTTGAAAGCGACTGTCACTAGAGCTTGTGAATAAAGGAAAGAGGATCCTAACTCTTCACATGATAGAAATGTGGCAGAACTATGTCCTGTCAATATCCCCTATATGTGGCTGGACCTGTCGTTGAACAGTTTACAGAGGAATCGTACAATATCACTACTCCCTTACTGCCCGGGGCATCATGTAGCAGAATTATGTCCTGTCAATATTTCCTTTATGTGGCTGGACCTGTCGTTGAACAGTTTACAGAGGATTCGCCCAGTATCACTACTCCCTTGCTGCCCGGGGCATCATGTAGCGGAATTATGTCCTGTCAATATTTCCTATATGTGGCTGGACCTGTCGTTGAACAGTTTACAGAGGATTCGCCCAGTATCACTACTCCCTTGCTGCCCGGGGCATCATGTAGCAGAACTATGTCCTGTCAATATTCCCTATATGTGGCTGGACCTGTCGTTGAACAGTTTACAGAGGAATCGTACAATATCACTACTCCCTTGCTGTCCGGGGCATCTTGTAGCAAAAAAAACTGGTCGGATACAAGTGGGTTTGGATTCAGCCATCACGTTACATACCCTTGGACGATGTGTTGAGTTGATTCAGTGTACTCCTTTAGTTTGTTTGTTTGTTTGTTTAATGACGCATTCAGCAATTTTCCTGCTATATGATGGCAGTGTGTAAGCTATCGAGTCTGGATTAGACAAACCAGTGATTGACATCATGAGCATCGATCTATACAAATTGGGATACGGTGACATGCATCAACCAAGTCAGCGAGACCGACCACCCGATCCCGTTAGAATGACAGCATGCTACTCTTGTGACAATAGCATTGTATCTGTACTGACCACTGTGTTGTTGCAAGCTATCTCTTGTGACAATAGTATTGTATCTGCACTGACCACTGTGTGGTGGCAAGCTATCTCTTGTGACAATAGTATTGTATCTGTACTGACCACTGTGTGGTGGCATGCTATCTCTTGTGACAATAGTATTGTATCTGCACTGACCACTGTGTGGTGGCATGCCACCTCTTGTGACAATAGTATTGTATCTGTACTGACCACTGTGTGGTGGCATGCTATCTCTTGTGACAATAGTATTGTATCTGTACTGACCACTGTGTGGTGGCAAGCTATCTCTTGTGACAATAGTATTGTATCTGTACTGACCACTGTGTGGTGGCATGCCACCTCTTGTGACAATAGTATTGTATCTGCACTGACCACTGTGTGGTGGCAAGCTATCTCTTGTGACAATAGTATTGTATCTGCACTGACCACTAGTGTGGTGGCATGCTATCTCTTGTGACAATAGTATTGTATCTGTACTGACCACTGTGTGGTGGCATGCTATCTCTTGTGACAATAGTATTGTATCTGTACTGACCACTGTGTGGTGGCATGCCACCTCTTGTGACAATAGTATTGTATCTGTACTGACCACTGTGTGGTGGCATGCTATCACTTGTGACAATAGTATTGTATCTGTACTGACCACTGTGTGGTGGCATGCTATCTCTTGTGACAATAGTATTGTATCTGTACTGACCACTGTGTGGTGGCAAGCTATCTCTTGTGACAATAGTATTGTATCTGTACTGACCACTGTGTGGTGGCATGCTATCACTTGTGACAATAGTATTGTATCTGCACTGACCACTGTGTGGTGGCATGCTATCTCTTGTGACAATAGTATTGTATCTGTACTGACCACTGTGTGGTGGCATGCTATCTCTTGTGACAATAGTATTGTATCTGCACTGACCACTGTGTGGTGGCATGCTATCTCTTGTGACAATAGTATTGTATCTGTACTGACCACTGTGTGGTGGCATGCTATCTCTTGTGACAATAGTATTGTATCTATACTGACCACTGTGTGGTGGCAAGCTATCTCTTGTGACAATAGTATTGTATCTGTACTGATCACTGTGTGGTGGCATGCTATCACTTGTGACAATAGTATTGTATCTGTACTGACCACTGTGTGGTGGCAAGTTATCTCTTGTGAAAATAGTATTGTATCTGTACTGATCACTGTGTGGTGGCATGCTATCTCTTGTGACAATAGTATTGTATCTATACTGACCACTGTGTGGTGGCATGCTATCACTTGTGACAATAGTATTGTATCTATACTGACCACTGTGTGGATCCTGGCGGACGTTCGAGTCATCCAGATCCTTGGCCCGGAGAAACTTGGACACACGAGAGACGGATACCCAGCCCTGTCGAGAGAATGTGGTCAATGTTAAGAATAATTGTGAGTGAGTGAGTGAGTTTAGGATGAGTACAAATGATGATGATGATGATGATGATGATGAAGAAGAAGATGATAATGATGGAAACAGTTCAGATCTGTGTTACAAATAAGACATTTCTTTACCATACTAACAATTCTTCCTGAATGAAACTATTTACAAGTGAATGACCTTATACATGTTAAAAGTCTCCAACACTGGTCAGTTCATCAACCTGTACATCCAAGTAGTGACGGGGGCACGTGTGGCCCAGTCGTCTAAGGTGCCGCGATTCGCTGTGCAAAGTTGCATCCCTTGGGCACGCCAGAAACCTATGATTGTGGGTTCGAATCTCGGTTCGCCCCGATTATGTTTCTAGGTTTGTCAGCACCATACCCGTGCTCGTGGGTTTCACCGAAGTGGTAAACGTCTGAGACCTGCATCACTTCGGGCTTTCCTCCCACATTAAGCTGACACGCCGTGATATAACAGGAATACTGTTAAAAGCGGCGTCAAACCCAACTCACTCACTCACTCCAAGTAGTGACACATGTACATGAAGCAATTTTCCTGCTATATGACGGTGTTCTGTAAATAATCGAGTCTGGACCAGACACTCCAGTGATTGACAACATGAGCATCGATTCACGCAATTGGGATACTATGCCATGCATCAACCAAGTCAGCGAGCCTGACAACCCGACCCCGTAAGTCGCCTCTCACTACTATGTTCTGGATGTACAAGGGCCCCACCTGAATATAGTACGGGATGATCATTGGCAGGGCGTTGATGGGCATCCGGAGAATGTTGAAGAGAGACAGCGACACGAAGGCTTTCTGTGCGTCCAGCACGTTGTCAGTCGAGGACAGGATGTACGCAGCGAATGTCGCCAGTGTCACCTGTAAGAGGAATGTAGTATGTAACAACAATCTATCAGAGAGGAGGTGACTAGTCTCCCACAGCTGGGATACACATGGGTCCACGACAAGAACATTGGGGGCAGACATGTATAACTCCCCTGACTTCCAACAATCATCCTGACGTCATACAAGTATCACTGCACATGCTCAGACGTCTGAAGCCTTTTGAGTGAGTCAGTGAGTGAGTGAGTATGGTTTTACACCGCTTTTAGCAATATTCCAGCAATATCACGGCGGGGGACACCAGAAATGAGCTTCACACATTGTAACCATGTCGGGAATCGAACCCGGGTCTTCGGCGTGACGAGCGAATGCTTTAACCACTAGGCTACCCGACCGCCCCTGAAGCCTTTTGAAGGGAGTTCAATGTTTATAGTGAGAAAAAAATAAGCCAATGACACTTGGAAGTTTGAGAGTATGTTTTAGCGGGGATAACAAAAGGGGCTCAAGCTCTGCAACTAACGAGACAGGGGGCACATGTCTTAAGATTGACAACTTACATGACATAGGGCACATGTCTTAAGACCGACAACTTACGAGACAGGGGGCACATGTCTTAAGATTGACAACTTACGAGATTAAGGGGGCACATGTCTTAAGATTGACAACTTACAAGACATGGGGGTACATGTCTTAAGATTGACAACTTACGAGACAGGGGGCACATGTCTTAAGATTGACAACTTACGAGACAGGGGGCACATGTCTTAAGACCGACAACTTACGAGACATGGGGGTACATGTCTTAAGATTAACAACTTACGAGACAGGGGGCACATGTCTTAAGACCGACAACTTACGAGACAGGGGGCACATGTCTTAAGATTGACAACTTACGAGACAGGGGGCACATGTCTTAAGATTGACAACTTACGAGACATGGGGGCACATGTCTTAAGATTGACAACTTACAAGACAGAGGGCACATGTCTTAAGATTGACAACTTACGAGACAGGGGGAACATGTTTAACATCGGCAACATACAAGATAGGGGGCACATGTCCAGAAGAAGGACATGACGGCGTTGAAGTAGGCTACTTTCCTGAGACAGAGGACACATGTTTTAAGATAGGCAACTTACAAGACAGGGGGCACATGTTTTAAGATAGGCAACTTACAAGATAGGGGGCACATGTCCAGAAGAAGGACATGACGGCGTTGAAGTAGGCTACTTTCCTGAGCAGGGCCAACTCCTGGCGTCGGATGACCAGCACCTTCTCCTGGAAGGACAGCTCCCAGGCGTACAGCTTCAGCACCTGGCAAATAAATGTTCATGATGTCAATCACTGGATTGTCTGGTCCAGATGCGATTTTTTTACAGACCGCCGTCATATAGCTGGAATAGTGCTGAGTGCAGCGTTAAACAACAAACAAACATAAGGCAAATCAGATATTTTCAAGACCCGGGAAGATCTGGGGTAGAAAAGGTCTTCAGCAACCCATTCTTGCTGTAAAAGTCGACTGTGCTTGTCGTAAGAGGCGACTAACAGGATCGGAAGGTCACTTGGGACAGGGAGCTGCCAAAACCTACCTTGAGGAAGTGAATCAGTCTAACTACTGGCCCTCTGGCTCGTGGACAGTAGAAACAGCAGAGGGCAACTAATAATTAGAATTAGTGTTTTTCTTTTTGTCTTACTCACAAGCTTAAAAGTGTAAAAGGCGACTACAATTGTCATTAGAGGCGACTAACGGGATCGGGTGGTCAGGCTCGCTCACTTGGTTGATGCATGTCATCATATCCCAATTGCTCATGATGTCAATCACTGGATTGTCTGGTCCAGACTCGATTATTTACAGACCGCCGTCATACAGCTCGAATATTGCTAAGTGTGGCGTTAAACAACAGACCAACCAACCCAATTGCGTGGATCGATGCTCATGATGTCAATCACTGGATTGTCTGATCCAAACTCGATTATTTACAGACCGCCGTCATACAGCTGGAATATTGCTGCGTGGGGCGTTAAACAACAGACCAACAAACCCAATTGCGTGGATCGATGCTCATGATGTCAATCACTGGATTGTCTGATCCAGACTGGATTATTTACAGACTGCCGTCATACAGCTGGAATATTGCTTAGTGCGGCGTTAAACAACAGACCAACCAACCTAATTGCGTGGATCGATGCTCATGATGTCAATCACTGGATTGTCTGATCCAGACTGGATTATTTACAGACTGCCGTCATAAAGCTGGAATATTGCTTAGTGCCGCGTTAAACAACAGACCAACCAACCCAATTGCGTGGATCGATGCTCATGATGTCAATCACTGGATTGTCTGATCCAGACTGGATTATTTACAGACTGCCGTCATACAGCTGGAATATTGCTGAGTGCGGCGTTAAACAACAGACCAACAAACCCAATTGCGTGGATCGATGCTCATGATGTCAATCACTGGATTGTCTGATCCAGACTGGATTATTTACAGACTGCCGTCATAAAGCTGGAATATTGCTGAGTGCGGCGTTAAACAACAGACCAACAAACCCAATTGCGTGGATCGATGCTCATGATGTCAATCACTGGATTGTCTGATCCAGACTGGATTATTTACAGACCGCCGGTGCTGAGTGCGGCGTTAAACAACAAACAACCAATCACAAGTCATCACCTTCATGCCGTTGAGGACTTCACTCATCAGTTTGATCCTTGCATCCTTCAACTTCATCAGCTGGAGCTGGTACTTCCGCAGCTTGCCGGCCATCACGCCGTTTACCGGGAACAGCAGTATCATCACCCCAAGTCCTGCCATCACCGAGGGGCCCAGAAGTCCCCACAGCATGTACAAGGCAATAGCGATGAGCAATGGCGATGACCAGATCACGTACAAGTAGCCGGTGACATCCTGGAGGCGCTGGCAGTCCACGGACATCAGGTTCACGATCTCTCCCACGGTGGATTCTTTCCGTGCATCACTGCTGATGGTCAGAGCCTGTTGAGGATGAGACGTACATAATAAGATCACCATCTTCCCGAGGCAAGGGAGTTGACTGACTATAAAAGTCCAGTTTCAACCCCTGCCGAACTAGGCTGGTATTATGGAGTTACATTTTGGCTGGACTAACGAGTCTGTGCATCGTCCAATCAAAATCGTGCACCGAAATCAAAATCTGGTTAGTAAACTGTCCTGAAGATTTCGGTCGATTGCAGGATTTACAAAGCATGTGCACCGCCAACTCGTTGTCAACAGATATTTTCCAAGTGTTTTCACGTTTTTAATCAAGGTGATACTTGTGTATGAGGAAAGTCAGAGACAGAGCCAGAGAGACAGTCAGAGAGACAGAAAGACATAGTAAGCGAGTCAGAGAGAAAGAGAGAGAAAGACAGTTAGAGAGACAGAAAGAGTCAGAGAGACAGTCAGAGAGAAAGAGCCAGAGAGACAGTCAGAGAGACAGAGCCAGAGAGACAGTCAGAGAGACAGAAAGACATAGTAAGCGAGTCAGAGAGTCAGAGAGAAAGAGAGAGAAAGACAGTTAGAGAGACAGAAAGAGTCAGAGAGACAGTCAGAGAGAAAGAGAGAGAAAGACAGTCAGAGAGACAGAAAGACATAGTAAGCGAGTCAGAGTCAGAGAGAAAGAGAGAGAAAGATAGTTAGAGAGACAGAAAGAGTCAGAGAGACAGTCAGAGAGACAGAGCCAGAGAGACAGTCAGAGAGACAGAAAGACATAGTAAGCGAGTCAGAGAGTCAGAGAGAAAGTGAGAGAAAGACAGTTAGAGAGACAGAAAGAGTCAGAGAGACAGTCAGAGAGAAAGAGAGAGAAAGACAGTCAGAGACACAGAAAGACATAGTAAGCGAGACAGAGTCAGAGAGAAAGAGAGAGAAAGACAGGGACAGAAAGACATGGTAAGCGAGACAGTCAGAAGATGATATTTGAAAGAAAGAAAGAGAGAAAGAGAGAGAAAGACAGACAGAAAGACGTAGTAAGCGAGACAGTCAGAAGATGATATTTGATACTTGTGTATGAGGAAAGTCAGAGAGAAAGAGAGAGAAAGACAGACAGAAAGACATAGTAAGCGAGACAGAGAGTCAGAGAGAAAGAGATAGAAAGAGTCAGAGAGACAGAAAGACAGTCAGAGAGACAGAAAGACATAGTAAGTGAGACAGTCAGAGAGTCAGAGAGAAAGACAGTCAGAGAGACAGAAAGACAGTCAGAGACAGAAAGACATAGTAAGCGAGACAGAGAGTCAGAGAGAAAGAGACAGAAAGACAGTCAGAGAGACAGAAAGATAGTCAGAGAGACAAAGATAGTCAGAGAGACAGATAGACAGTCAGAGAGACAGAGAGAAAGTAAGAAAGACAGTCAGAGAGACAGAGAGAAAGACAGTCAGAGAGACAGAGAGAAAGTAAGAAAGACAGTCAGAGAGAAAGAGACAGAAAGACAGTCAGAGAGACAGAAAGATAGTCAGAGAGACAAAGATAGTCAGAGAGACAGATAGACAGTCAGAGAGACAGAGAGAAAGTAAGAAAGACAGTCAGAGAGTCAGAGTCAGAAAGACAGAGAGACAGAAAGGCAGAGTCAGAGAGACAGAGCAAGAAACAAAGACACACAGACAGTCAGAAAAATAATCAGATGGAATAATGGAATAGCCTGGTTTCTGCAATGACCTACACTCTTATTCTTGTTGCTTTATGCAGTATTCCAGCACGTAGGGGGCACCAAAACCAAACCATGTGGCAGTGACAGATATTAACCTAAAACGTTTACTACCCCAAACAGAGATAACATATATACATATACATTCACAGACTTGCAGATCCTCAAGATGTGTAAGGGGCTTGGGTGGCCCAGTCATCTAAGGCACTGCAATTAGCTGTGCAGAGTTGCCTCCCTTGGGCACGCCAGCAACCAATGGGTTCAAATCCTAGTTCGCCCAGATAACGTTTCTATGTTTGTCAGCACCATACGTCTGAGACCTGCATCACTTTGGGCTTTCCTCCCACATGAAGTTGACATGCCGTGATATAACTGGAATACTGTTAAAAGTGACATTAAACCGAACTCACTCACTCACTCCTCCCACATTAAGCTGACACGCTATGACAAAACTGGAATACTGTTTAAAGCGTTAAACCCAACTCCCTCACTCACTCCAAATGTATAATACATAGAGTTAAACACGATGCTGTAGAATTAGTCTGAACTTCTTGTAGACAGCTGATATGACAGCAGATTTGATCCTCATTTCCAGCGTTATTAAACCCAAGTCACTCTCTCAATCACTCACTACAAATGTATAATACATAGAGTTAGACACAATGCTGTAGAATGAGTCTGACCTTCTTGTAGACAGCTGATATGACAGCAGACTTGATCCTCATCCCCAGCGTCATGCTGATGTGGAAGTGCTGGTGGAAGAAACACGACTGAGTGACGGCGACCACGAAGAAGGAGCAGGCGTAGACGTAGCCCTTCCACTCCTGCTCTGTAGCTCGGTTGTCGATGAAGGAAATCAACGCACTGAAACACAGAAGACACAGCATTGTGAATGAATACCCATAGCCTTACCACTCCTATCCCAGTCCTCCATGGCTTCGCAATCGTATTTTAGGCTGCCAGAGACGATGCCCGGTGGTTGGAATCACAGAAGTGCTTATGATGATTTATATTTGCTGAGCAGAATATTTGTGCTGTAAGTTTCAACAAAGTGGTACACGTCTAAGACATGGATCCTTTCGGAACTTCCTCCCACATCAAGCTCACATGCTTGATATGATCAAAAAGATGTTAAGAGAGCGCTGTAACGAATAAACACACTTGTTGTGGGACGAAGCTCCATGATTGCAGAAGATGGTGAAACAAACAGCGCAGAAATTACTAATGCATAAATGTAAGTCGGGAAATTGAACCGACGACCCTGTGTATTCTTGAGCTAACACACCAGGGCTGGGACGATTCCAAATCTACTACCCGGTAACCCTACTCACTATTACCCGACCCTACCGTGGTACCCGCTGTAGGTCTCAAGATATAGGTACAAATGTCCAATGGGGAATAGTTTGACCGTAGCCCTGGCAAAATATATTTAGACACTCAAATAAAACGATCTGGTTATGCATACACTGTAGTTGACTGAAGTTTTAAGTCAGAAAGAAATGCGAATATTAGTCTCTTATAGTACAACCGTGGACATTCTAGATAATGTTTGCTATTAAACAATATATTACATGACTGAACACGGGTCCGGGTAGTACTGTGGGTACCCGGGTCCTACTCAGGACCCACCCAAGCCGAGTATCCGAGTTACCCGTCCCAGCCCTTGAACACACATTACTCAGAGACAATTCGCCCTCCAACACAGAAGGATAAAGCAGCTAAAGAACAAAACTCTCCATAGCAAATTGTTTCCCCTGAGACAACCTGTGGGATAAGGGTCCAAGATTATTGCACTTATATAGCGACGTGCATGTACGTGTGTGTGTGTTTGTGTGGCTGCTTGTACTAGTCCAGACTGATTTATAGTGCTAGCTCACTGAGATACCATGCTGCAGTTTAACATGAATACCCCACTCAGACACAGTATACTGACTCCGAGTCCCTTAATGCCGAGCGCCAGACAGGGTAACAACAAGTACCATCTTTTATCGTCTTTTGGTATGACGCGGCCGGGGATCGATCCCCGCTCTCCGGGCGGACGCTCTACCACTAGACCACGGAGGCGGTCTAAACATAGTATGACATGAACACTCATATAATATCCTCCACATACTGCAAACAGCTTTATTTCTGCGCCGTTAAAATATTGCGAATACCACACCAAAGACAATACTGCGATGAGATTTTTTTGCGAGTTGCCGTGTTGAGATGACCCCTCGATTACCAAACAATAGACAGCTTCTCTCCGAAGCTAGTTAATCTGAGTTGGCCGGAAAGTTGACCGGAAGGGATTGCGACCAATTATCAAATACGATAATTGACTCAACTCAGTGTCATGAGTGTGAGTTTGAATGCAAACTATATAAGAAGGATTTTAATGAAAGTTTGTCGCCGTGTGCGAAATACGCTACAGTCTATATCAGTCAGTCAGTCAGAAAGTTTGTCAATCACAAATTGTGACAATGTGGAGATACGTAACGGTACACTAGTTGGTCTGTTTGCACTGTCATTTGTGATGTATTGTGTGACCATTCTGCATTCATTTGTGTTTTTAACTAATTGAGTAACTTGTGGTTCTGGTTGATGATTTCAACATTTGATGACGTGTTGCAATGAATAAAGTATGTATGTATTATTTATACAGTCGTGCCTCGTTTATATGGACACTTGCATCATTTCACAATTCGTCCGTATAAACGAATTTCCGTATAACTGAAACCAGTTTCTTACTGGAAGAGTTACTTCCCTTCAATTCTGCAACTCATGACATATGTCAGAGCAAACAGATACATCCACTCAATCTTTATTCATACACGTTTAAAAAAAACTGTCATGGAACTTTACCACATTTTGAGGTTTGAATTTAAACAATAATTCCAAATTGTCCAGATCGCCTGTGTTCTCGTAATAGGTAATCAAGGTCTCTATACAAGCACGAGCCTCCTTGTGAGTTGACAGGCCATACTTACACAACTTTGACCTCTGACGCCATATTTATCGAAGGGGATTACATGTACAATAAACAAGCTCGTCTCAAACGTAACTCAGTGTCACTTGGTTAATTGACTTCTCACGAATCAAAGGATTACCACCAGCAGAAGGATTACCACCAGCGGAAGTGTATTGTTTGGATAAGTGAGACAATTTTGTGTGCATTTCAGTGTTTTGTGTATGAAAATGACCGTCCGGTTCTGGAAACTGAATTTCCGGATATACGGGTAAATTTATATAGTAATTATTTCGTTTTGAATGAAAATCGTCCGGGAACCGAGGTTTCCGGATATCTGAAGTCCGTATAAGGGGGGCATGACTACTTATTTTTGCGTTTTTAATTTTTGCGATTGAGTCTTGTTCGCAAAACTCGCAATAATAAAACGGTCGCAAAAAATTCCCTGTTTACAGTATTCACTGCAATTCTCCACATACTTACTTCGTGAGCAATGGGTTGACAAATGACAGTAAGTCGTACACAGCTTTCCAGACATGGGAGATGAGGAGTGTTGGACCATACGTCTTCAGCAAGACTTTAAACAAGGACGGTTGGGCCTGTGGAGGCTTATCCTTGTCCTTGACCTTGTCCTTGACCTTGAAGGAGACATCACTGTGGCTGCTGTGCGCTGCTTGCAACAAGGGGGTCTTCTCCGAGGCTTTCGCCCCCTCGTCCTGCATCAGGTTGTGGTGGAGGGTGGATGCAGAATACCTGGCTCTGAAACATCACGGTCACCATAGGAACACCGTTCATTCTAGAGGTGAGGTGAACGGTTGTATTTCCCTAACGACCCATTAAATGTCTGTCAGATTTGGTATCAAACGTCTCAGAATTTCAAGAGCTTTCCAATGAGCCATCATGCACTAAAATCGCTTAATATTTAAGAAAAATGTGTTTTTCACCTGTCCAGCAAAAGGACTTCCAAGTCAGCAAATGGACAAGACATTGTTCTGCCTTGTGTGTTTGAGAAACGCGCCAATTTTCCTTTTTGGAGTAAATATGCAGGTCTTTTGAAACACTTTGCAGAGACCAAATCTTTTGAGGTGATGTGATGCGTCCAAGATTATTGCACTTATATAGCGACGTGCATGTACGTGTGCATGTACGTGTGTGTGTGTGTGTGGCTGCTTGTACTAGTCCGGACTGATGCCGATTTAACATCTTTTGGTATGACGCGGCCGGGGATCGAACCCCGGACCTTCCGCTCTCTGGGCAGACGTTCTACCACTAGACCACGGAGGCAGTCTTGTTCATTCTGGACCAAACCCATGAATGGAATTGTAAGCAACACAAACAACCCCTGCTGGTATGATCCATTCAGTCGCCTCCAACTACAAGCTGGGGACCTATTTATTTGCTTTGTGTTTGTCTGTTTGTTTAACACTGCACTCAGCAATATTCCAGCTATATGACAGTCTGAATGTTCTAGAGTCTGGACCAGACAATCCAGTGATCAACATTGTGGGCAATGATCTGCCCCTCAAATTCACAATGTAAGGGACCGCCTGTAAGTAATAGAGTCTGGACCAGACAATCCAGTGATAAACATTGTGGGCAATGACCTACCCCTCAAATTCACCATGTTAGGGACCGCCTGTAAGTAATAGAGTCTGGACCAGACAATCCAGTGATAAACATTGTGGGCAATGACCTACCCCTCAAATTCACCATGTTAGGGACCGCCTGTAAGTAATAGAGTCTGGACCAGACAATCCAGTGATCTGCCCCTCAAATTCACCATGTAAGGGACCGCCTGTAAGTAATAGAGTCTGGACCAGACAATCCAGTGATCAACATTGTGGGCAATGATCTGCCCCTCAAATTCACCATGAAGGGACCGCCTGTAAGTAATAGAGTCTGGACCAGACAATCCAGTGATCAACATTGTGGGCAATGATCTGCCCCTCAAATTCACCATGTAAGGGACCGCCTGTAAGTAATAGAGTCTGGACCAGACAATCTAGTGATGTAAGGGAAGGGTCAGTGGAGGATGTTTACTTTTCCTCGTTCTTCCTCTGTGCTTTCCTCACTTCCTTCACCCAAGCCGTCCAAAACTGGGGCAGAACCCTCTCACTCTTGTCCCTCGGGTGCAACTCAAACAGGTCCTCCTCCTCCAGAGATTTGCGATACCCTTTAAACAGCAGTCTGAAACAGAGGACAGCGGTCTGACACAGAGAGGACAGCGGTCTGTCACAGAGAGGACAGCGGTCTGTCACAGAGCAGACAGCCGTTCGAAACAGAAACATGTACGGTACAATGACAAAGACCCAACCAAGTCACCAAATCATCAAGCCTGACCACCCGATCCAATCACCTCCTGTGACAAGTGGGAATTATTCTGGCCCCAGCCCCAGCCCCTACCCGCAACCCATGAGTACTCACGAGTTGATCCAGTTGAAAGTCACTCTGCTGAGGAAGGATGCTCTCGTCTCCGGTGACAGAACCTAGGAAGAGAATAGAAGACTGAAAGGTCACACTCTATGGAACAATACGTGGCAAAACTTTGAAATATTGGCATGAGAGAGAGAGAGTTGGGTTTAACGCCGCTTTTAACAGTATTCCAGTCATATCGTGGCGAGTCAGCTTAATGTGGGAGGAAAGCCCGAAGTGATGCAGGTCTCAGACGTTTACCACTTCGGTGAAACCCACGAGCACGGGTATGGTGCTGACAAACCTAGAAACATAATCGGGGCGAACCGGGATTCGAACACACAATCATAGGTTTCTGGCGTGACCAAGGGATGCAACTCTGCACAGCGAATCGCGGCGCATTAGACAACTTGGCCACCCGTGCCCCCTATTAATACTGAGTGTAGGTTGTTCACTACATATGCAATTGAGGTACTGTGCAGTGGCACTCGTTTATGATTTGTCCCCAGCACAATTCAGTAGACTCTGGCTGGTGGACAAGCATGAATCTTGAAGGCTGACATTTGGTACATTGCTTCCAAGAGCCAGAGCTGAACCAGTAATACGGGTTGTTATTTATGGATACTCTTGCATCAATTGGTTAATGCCCTGTGAAGATCCTGGTCAGAACAGGTCTTCAGCAAACCATGCTTGCTGTAACAGGCGACTGTGCTTGCTGTAACAGGCGACTATGCTTGCTGTAACAGGCAACTAACAGCATCGGGTGGTCAGGCTTGCTGATTTGGTTGCTGGATTGGATGGATCGATGCTCATGATATCAATCACTGGACTTTTTGACTCGATTATTTACAGACAGCTGTCATATAGCTGGTATATTGCTGAATGCGACGTTAAACAACAAAGCAACAAACAAACAATAACCATACTGTGATTTCTGTGTTCGGCTGTTTTACCCGTAGATTTTGGTGAGGCCAAGTAAAATGTGGAAGGAAATATTCGGTGTGAGAGTGGGCAGCTACACCAGTTGAGGCTTGAATATAACTTGATACAAACATTCAGAACAGCATATCTGAATTACAAAATAAACCTAGACAAACAGTTCTGAATGTCCTGTCAGATAAAGTCCTGGGCCCTGTTCCACAAAGCCATCTAAGTGCTACGTTGATCGTAAGCCTATGGTAAAGTATGGGAGTTACGACCAACTTAGCACTAAGGTCGCTTTGTGGAACAGGGCCCTGATTATGAGTATCGATCAGTTGGGATATAATGACATGCATCAACCAAGTCAGCTAGCCGGACCACTCGATCACGTTAGTCGCCTCTTACGACAAGTACAGTTGCCTTTTAAGACAAGCATGGATTGCTAAAGCCTTTTCTAACCCAGATCTTCACGGGTAACTGAATCTCACCCGAGTGTCTTTTGATATCAAATATATATACACGAGTTGATAAAAGTGGGAAAACTCTGAGGTTTGCCAAGGATACTTTCCACTTTTATCAACGTCAAAAGACACAGGGCGAGATTTTATTTAGCATCCAACATTATTCTTCCAACTTTTTCATTTTGTAGACAGTAATAAGCAGTGTCTTTAGTGTAAAGAGTACTGCTAACAGCTTCTGTAGCAGAGCCATTAGTGATGTCATTTGATTGTGACATCATGGTAACCAATGATGTCACAATGGTCTGCAAAGCATTGTGATGCAATTGATCTCACCCAAGCAATATCTCCTGTGGGAGCCAGTTTTGGATGATAAATAACACTGTATTGAAGGTAAAAACAATTTTGGTCAGCAAAGAACTCACTGTGCCCATGTGGTAGTATCCCTGTCGTGTTGGGTTGTCAGCAAAACAGTGGAGAAGCAGGCCACCCAGCACAAACACATAGTACACGTAGAACAGCGCGAACCGGAACAGGTGGTCATTGTACTCCTGAAACAATGACAGAAACATAGTACACGTAGAACAGCGCGAACCGGAACAGGTGGTCATTGTACTCCTGAAACAATGACAGAAACATAGAACACGTAGAACAGCGCGAACCGGAACAGGTGGTCATTGTACTCCTGAAACAATGACAGAAACATAGTACACGTAGAACAGCGCGAACCGGAACAGGTGGTCATTGTACTCCTGAAATGTCACAATGACAGAAACATAGAACACGTAGAACAGCGCGAACCAGAACAGGTGGTCATTGTACTCCTGAAACAATGACAGAAACATAGAACACGTAGAACAGCGCGAACTGGAACAGGTGGTCATTGTACTCCTGAAACAATGACAGAAACATAGTACACGTAGAACAGCGCGAACCGGAACAGGTGGTCATTGTACTCCTGAAACAATGACAGAAACATAGAACACGTAGAACAGCGCGAACCGGAACAGGTGGTCATTGTACTCCTGAAACAATGACAGAAACATAGAACACGTACAACAGCTCGAACCGGAACAGGTGGTCATTGTACTCCTGAAACAATGACAGTAACATAGAACACGTAGAACAGCGCGAACCGGGACAGGTGGTCATTGCACTCCTGAAACAATGACAGAAACATAGAACACGTAGAACAACGCGAACTGGAACAGGTGGTCATTGTACTCCTGAAACAATGACAGAAACATAGAACACGTAGAACAGCGCGAACCGGAACAGGTGGTCATTGTACTCCTGAAACAATGACAGAAACATAGAACACGTACAACAGCGCGAACCGAAACAGGTGGTCATTGTACTCCTGAAACAATGACAGAAACATAGTACACGTAGAACAGCGCGAACCGGAACAGGTGGTCATTGTACTCCTGAAACAATGACAGTAACATAGAACACGTAGAACAGCGCGAACCGGGACAGGTGGTCATTGTACTCCTGAAACAATGACAGAAACATAGAACACGTAGAACAGCGCGAACTGGAACAGGTGGTCATTGTACTCCTGAAACAATGACGGAAACATAGAACACGTAGAACAGCGCGAACCGGAACAGGTGGTCATTGTACTCCTGAAACAATGACAGAAACATAGAACACGTAGAACAGCGCGAACCGGAACAGGTGGTCATTGTACTCCTGAAACAATGACAGAAACATAGAACACGTACAACAGCGCGAACCGAAACAGGTGGTCATTGTACTCCTGAAACAATGACAGAAACATAGAACACGTACAACAGCTCGAACCGGAACAGGTGGTCATTGTACTCCTGAAACAATGACAGAAACATAGAACACGTATAACAGCGCGAACCGGAACAGGTGGTCATTGTACTCCTGAAACAGTGACAGAAACATAGAACACGTAGAACAGCGCGAACTGGAACAGGTGGTCATTGTACTCCTGAAACAATGACAGAAACATAGAACACGTAGAACAGCGCGAACCGGAACAGGTGGTCATTGTACTCCTGAAACAATGACAGAAACATAGAACACGTAGAACAGCGCGAACCGGAACAGGTGGTCATTGTACTCCTGAAATGTCACAATGACAGAAACATAGAACACGTAGAACAGCGCGAACCGGGACAGGTGGTCATTGTACTCCTGAAACAATGACAGAAACATAGAACACGTAGAACAGCGCGAACCGGAACAGGTGGTCATTGTACTCCTGAAATGTCACAATGACAGAAACATAGAACACGTAGAACAGCGCGAACCGGAACAGGTGGTCATTGTACTCCTGAAACAATGACAGAAACATAGAACACGTAGAACAGCGCGAACCGGAACAGGTGGTCATTGTACTCCTGAAACAGTGACAGAAACATAGAACACGTAGAACAGCGCGAACTGGAACAGGTGGTCATTGTACTCCTGAAACAATGACAGAAACATAGAACACGTACAACAGCACGAACCGGAACAGGTGGTCATTGTACTCCTGAAACAATGACAGAAATATAGAACACGTACAACAGCGCGAACCGAAACAGACCTGAAATGGCGAAATGTTGTGAATATTGTCATCATTAAACATCATTAAACTTCCATTTACCGAATCAGGCATTACGTACTGTATACCCACTTGCTGTATAATCCTACTGTAGGCTGACATATATGCCTGCTGTATTGTCCTACTGTATGCTGACATATATACCCACCTGCTGTATTGTCCTACTGTAGGCTGACATATATACCCACCTGCTGTATAATCCTACTGTAGGCTGACATATATACCCACCTGCTCTATGATCCCACTGTAGGCTGACATATATGCCTGCTGTATTATCCTACTGTATGCTGACATATATACCCACCTGCTGTATTGTCCTACTGTAGGCTGACATATATACCCACTTGCTGTATAATCCTACTGTAGGCTGACATATATACCCACTTGCTGTATAATCCTACTGTAGGCTGACATATATGCCTGCTGTATTATCCTACTGTATGCTGACATATATACCCACCTGCTGTATAATCCTACTGTAGGCTGACATATATACCCACCTGCTGTATTGTCCTACTGTAGGCTGACATATATACCAATTTGCTGTATTATCCCACTGTAGGCTGACATATATACCCACTTGCTGTATGATCCTACTGTAGGCTGACATATATACCCACCTGCTGTATTATCCAGCTGTAGGCTGACATATATACCTGCTGTATGATCCTACTGTAGGCTGACATATATACCCACTTGCTGTATTGTCCTACTGTATGCTGACATATATACCCACCTGCTGTATGATCCTACTGTAGGCTGACATATATACCCACCTGCTGTATTGTCCTACTGTATGCTGACATATATACCCACCTGCTGTATTGTCCTACTGTAGGCTGACATATATACCCACCTGCTGTATGATCCCACTATAGAATGGTACCACTCCTGCCAATGTTGTCAACAGCCAAAATATGAACTGAATTCCGGATGTGATGAAGCCTCGCTTGCGTTCAAGCTGTACCAAGATGGCCGCCAGCAGCTGGAGACAAGACATGTCCATTCACTGATATTGTTGTGCATCACAATTATTGTTAGGAAATGTATTGACACAAGACATGACCATTCACTGACAGTGTTGTGCATCACAAGTATTGTTAGGAAATGTATTGACACAAGACATGACCATTCACTGATATTGTTGTGCATCACAAGTATTGTTAGGAAATGTACTGACACAAGACATGACCATTCACTGATATTGTTGTGCATCACGAGTATTGTTAGGAAATGTATTGACACAAGACATGACCATTCACTGATATTGTTGTGCATCACAAGTATTGTTAGGAAATGTATTGACACAAGACATGACCATTCACTGATATTGTTGTGCATCACAATTATTGTTAGGAAATGTATTGACACAAGACATGACCATTCACTGATATTGTTGTGCATCACGAGTATTGTTAGGAAATGTATTGACACAGGACATGACCATTCACTGATATTGTTGTGCATCACAAGTATTGTTAGGAAATGTATTGACACAAGACATGACCATTCACTGATATTGTTGTGCATCACAAGTATTGTTAGGAAATGTATTGACACAGGACATGACCATTCACTGATAGTGTTGTGCATCATGAGTATTGTAAGGAAATGTATTGACACAAGACATGACCATTCACTGATATTGTTGTGAATCACAAGTATTGTTAGGAAATGTATTGTCACAAGACATGACCATTCACTGATAGTGTTGTGCATCACAAGTATTGTTAGGAAATGTATTGTCACAAGACATGACCATTCACTGATATTGTTGTGCATCACAAGTATTGTTAGGAAATGTATTGACACAAGACATGACCATTCACTGATATTGTTGTGCATCACAAGTATTGTTAGGAAATGTATTGACACAAGACATGACCATTCACTGATATTGTTGTGCATCACAAGTATTGTTAGGAAATGTATTGACACAAGACATGACCATTCACTGATATTGTTGTGCATCACAAGTATTGTAAGGAAATGTAAAGACACAAGACATGACCATTCTCTGATATTGTTGTGCATCACAAGTATTGTTAGGAAATGTATTGACACAAGACATGACCATTCACTGATATTGTTGTGCATCACAAGTATTGTTAGGAAATGTATTGACACAAGACATGACCATTCACTGATATTGTTGTGCATCACAAGTATTGTTAGGAAATGTATTGACACAAAACCAAAATATTAATAAGGAGGGCAACTATGATATATGAATCAAATATTTTTTGACAATAAAAAGAAATAGTTTTTTCATAATAAGTGAAAAGTCTACATTACAACTTCGAGAGTTTGCAGGACTGACATAAAGCTGTGATGCCGGAGTTGATGCTTTAAGCTGCACACACTTCATCATCTGCAGAGGGTTGACAGTGGGAGCAGGCCTCGACAACATGCTCAACACACAATATTTGTTTGTTTGTTTGTTTGTTTGTTTGTTTAACGCCGCACACAGCAATATTCCAGCTATATGAAGGCGCTTTGTAAATAATCGAGTCTGGACCAGACAATCCAGTGATTGACATCATGAGCATCGATTCACCCAATTGGGATCGATGACATGCATCAACCAAGTCAGTGAGCCTGACCACCCGATCCTGTTAGTCGCCTCTTACGACAAGCATAGTCGCCATTTACAGCAAGTATGGGTTGCTGAAGACCTATTCTACCCCGGATCTTCATGGGTCCTCAATGCACAATGAGAAATAACCAAAACAGATCTTCACGGGTCCTCAATGCACAATGAGAAATAACCAAAACAGATCTTCACGGGTCCTCAATGCACAATGAGAAATAACCAAAACAGATCTTCAGAGGTAAGGCCATGTTAGCGTTTTGTCTTGTCTTGTGAACAAAAAAAGTTGTGCAAAAGAAATCTTGAGTTTGATGATATAATTTGAAAATATGCTCTATTGCAATATACCGTCTTCGACGTAATAAGCGCCCACGGCGATATCCGCTAATAAATTGGCCAGTGAACAATTCTAATTAGCACCCCTTCCGATTGATCAATGTACACAAGACTTATATATTCGCTTAAAATACGCACTCATCTGTTATATGCACACTTAATTATGGGCAATTAAATTCTGGAAAAATATATCTGTCGTACATAAACATTTCAGGCTGTCAGCATAAACCACAAAATTTACCTTTTAACTCTGTTTTTTTCCACTAAAATAATATTCTAATAAGAGCCCCCTATTTCTAATTTTGAGAGCGCCCTGGGCGATTATCATGTCGAATACGGTATTTTTAACTGTGTCCATGTGATATACAAATTTCAGTTATATATATTTGGAAATATTCTCAAATAATCACTGGCCTTAATATGGATGAGGCTTTAAAGCTGCCATCATGTTACTTACAAATGTTCCAGCTTGCAAGCCTTTGGCGACGTACACAGCCGTGACAACATCCTCCTTCTCTCCATCACTCACAGCCTTCAAGACATCCACGACGCAGATGAAACTGAGGAAGATGCTGAAAAACTAAAAGGACAAAATCAATTAGAAATAAGGATGAGAGAGCTCGGTTTAACGCCACTTTTAAAAGCATTTCAGTTACCGTATTCGACGTAATAAGCTCCCCGTTCTAATAAGCGCCCCGATCTAATAAGCGCCCCAGGCGATATTTGCTAATATATTAGCTAGTGAACAATCCCAATTAGCACCCCTTCCGATTGATCAATGTACACAAGACTTATTTATTCGTGTATAATATGTGCGTTATATGCACCCTTAATTATGGGAAATTAAATTCTCGAAAATATATCTGTCATATATAAACATTTCAGGCTGTCAGCATAAACCACAAAATTTACGATCTTTAAACTCTGTTGTTTTTCACCAAAATAACATTCTAATAAGAGCCCCCTATTTCTAATTTTGAGAGCGCCCTGGGTGCTTATCATGTCGAATACGGTATAGTCGAATACGGTATTTCAGTTATATCTCGGCGTGTCAGCTTCATGTGGGAGGAAAGCCGGAAGTGATACAGCTAAGACGTTTACCACTTCGGTGAAACCCACAAGCACAGGTATGGTGCTGACAAACCTAGAAACATAATCGGGGCGAACCGGGATTCGAACCCATCATCATAAATTTCTGGCGTTCAACTCTGCAGAGTGAAATCGCAACATCTAAGATGACTGGTGGCTATCTGTGCCCCACAGGCAGGCTTCAAAGTTTAATTTTTAACCAAGTAGCGGCTAGCCATATGGCTACAAGCATTTTTTCCCAGGTAGCCAGTCCTAAAATCAAGAAGTGTTGTAAGTAGCCAAAAACATTTGAAATTATCTTTTATCAAATAACTATTATAATATGTACAAGTCATAGCACTAGTCTTGAAATTGTATATTAGTGGAAACTGTACTTGATTTTTAATATTTGTGACTCAAACAATGATTATATAGGTATATATAGGTTACTTAATTATATAGGTATATCCTTGCTTATCCAATGAGCCTTGTCAACTGAAATAACATACTAATTACATTAATATTTATGTATTTCTGTTTATTGTCGACTTTAGGAGGAATTATACGCAAGTACAATTATTAGCACTAAGCAGACTTGTTTTCCACAATCAGCTATTATTTACTTTTGTACCTTCAAATTTGAAGCAAAAGAATTTAGTCACCACAAGATATTTTTCAAGGAAGTCATTGGGCCAACTCTGAATTTTAGAAAAATTGAAATTTAGGTTGAATTGGCGATCGTTTTAGTTGCAACTTTGAGGCCTGACAGATAATCAGTAACTCTTATCTGCCAGCAGATTACTCCCCACATCAAAAACGTGAGAGTTGCAAATACATCGCAGTGATCACCATGTGATAACCATGTGATCAGTGAACCTAGAGAGCATGTTGAGTGTGGATAGCCCTGATCTGCTGGACTGTGGTCCAGTGAGTGAGTAAGTGAGTGAGTGAGTGAGTTGGGTTTAACGCCGCTTTTAACAGTATTCCAGTTATATCGCAGCGTGTCAGCTTAATGTGGGAGGAAAGCCCGAAGTGATGCAGGTCTCAGACGTTTTCCACTTCGGTGAAACCCACGAGCACGGGTATGGTGCTGATAAACCTAGAAACATAATCGGGGCGAACGGGGATTCAAACCCACAATCATAGGTTTCTGGCATGCCAAAGGGATGCAACTCTGCACAGCGAATCGCGACGCCTTAGACAACTAGGCCACAAGTGACCCCGACTGTAGTCCAGACAACCAGTAACAGCTGGCATCAATAAAACAATTATTTATTTTTTAAGTCAACATAGAGAAATTAATACTAACTATTCCATGACATATTAGTTTAAGAGAGAGTATATGTGTGTAGTCATAGTTACCGTATATCGCTGTGTATAAGGCGAGTTTTTCGTACCTAAAATGAGGGGGGTAAGAAGGGGGGTCGTCTTATACACGGAGTTGAAGATCTCACATTTGTTTCCACTGGCGATGTCAACCGGCGTCCGATAGCCAGCCCAGCATTTGACAATAAAACTTCGCATTTCGTCCTAAATAACTGTTCCAATAACTATTTCCATACATAAACATGATTTGTATCTCCTTTCCTTGAATAAAGTTTAATAATTTCTGCAAATAAAGTTGAAATGACCCTCGCCTCGATGCAGATTGTCAAACCACCTGACACGGTAAAACAATCAACATCCGTGAGTAGAGAGCCGGAAGTACCGGTAAGCATTTGCATATTGCACATGTGACCTAACATGTGATAACCGGTGAAGCTGTTGCTTGCTGGTTGACAAAACAGACAACCTGGCTCCAGAATTTTCAACGACGGAGATTGGGGTCGCCAAAACAAAAAGCCCACGGCCAAGCTTTTTATAAATGAATCAATTAATCTTTACATGACGATACTGATACATATCAGGGAATCATCAGACTATTATTGTAGTGTCATCATGATCAGGCAGTTAACTGCATTGTCACAGACCAGCTGCTGACAGAATAATGTCGCACACACTGACAGTGTAGAGCCTGCTGGCATCTGTTGCAGATCTAGAATCAGACAGACCGCCTCCGTGGTCTAGTGGTAGAGCGTTCGCCCGGAGAGCGGAAGGTCCGGGGTTCGATCCCCGACCGCATCATACCAAAAGACGTTAAAAGATGGTACTTGTTGTTACCCTGTCTGGCACTTGACATTAAGGGGCTAAAACAAGGACTGGTCGGCTCGGAGTCAGTATACTGTGTCTGAGTGGGGTATTCATGTTAAACTGCGGCATGGTATCTCAGTAAGTTTGCACTATAAATCGGCATCAGTCCGGACTAGTACAAGCAGCCACACAAACACACACGTACATGCACGCCGCTATATAAGTGCAATAATTTTGGACTCGTCGTTAAACCCAATTTCACCACCTAGATCAGACAGGATTTGACATCTTCATTCTCAAGGACACTGATTCATTGCCATGCAGAATGTCCTACAACTTTTTTGACGATGACGAGGGGTTTTATGCGTCCCGGAGACGTGTGGTATAAAACCTCACTAGGGACGCATAAAACCCCATATCCCCCGCGTGGTCTTGTTACAATGAATTTATGTTTTAATAGGATATTGTAAAATAATTCAACTAAATTCCAAGTTGCTTGATTTAGCTGAGGTAAGCATGTTCTATGTAATGTGACATCCATTGGCTCTGAAAAAGCATGCAGCTTTTTGCTATGAAGTGGGGTATAAAGGATTTAGTCTCTCAGAAATCCACTTGCAGCCTGTAGTGCTCGTGGCGGGGTATGCGAGATTCATTCCCCGCTGAGAAATTTATTACCCTCCAAGGCGGGTTACACAGTAGTTTATCAAGATAACGTGGACCAATCAGATCTCATCATTTTGACACGGAGGTATGAAAAAGCAAAATGTCACATCAATGTCATAAAACAAGGTGTAGATCGATGCTCATGATGTCAATCACTGAGCTGTCTGGTCCAGACGGCCTATTTTTAAGGCTGTCTTACAGCCAAGCTACCTTAAGTTTCTGACAAAAATTAAAACACGGTTGTACCTGTCTTAGGAGCTTAGGTACAATGGCAGCCAAGAGACGGCTTTATTTGACAGTATGGGTCCACTGTAGCGTTTCTGACCACAACACTGAGTGGTTTCCACACTCACTTTCAACACAGGAACAGGTCCTAGCAAACATCGCAGAGACATCTTATTATGGATTACCATATTTGACGTAATAAGCGCCCAGGCGCTCTCAAAATAGAAATAGGGGGGTCTTATTAGAATATCATTTTGTCGAAAAAAAACAGAGTTGAAAGATAAATTCCGTGGTTTATGCTGACAGCCTGAAATGTTTATATACGAGAGATATATTTTTCCAGAATTTAATTAGGAGATAAACATACTGTGTTTTCAATGTAGAGCTAGGTTACCTGTAGATTTAACCCCGCTAAATTGAATTTGGAACCGAACGCGCAGCGTGAGGTTTCAAATCTTAAATTTAGCGGGGTTAAATCTACAGGTAACCTAGCTCTACATTGAAAACACAGTATGTTTATCTCCATTCTACCATGACTAAATAAAATGCGAACTCTTTGGTGTTAGCAAATATACTGAGTGAAGCGTCATGGGTTGAGTTCAGTGTTTTGAGTGCGCTATCGATCTGAATTACGGAATCACCGAAAAAAAAATATGGTGCCGTATATCCTCAAGCAGTTTGTTTATACCGTAATACTTCTATCATGGGATAACATTTATACTAAGTTATCTTATAATAATTAGATCTACATCAAGTGCTTTTATGAGTTATCATGGCGTAATATTTATACATCCTTTCATATAATTATAGTTTAGCAAGTAATAATTATCATTAGGTAAAATGCATATATAAAATATCAGTAGTTTCAGTTAAAGCTTTTTAGATGGTTGCTAGCCTAAGGTAATGGGAGCGCGTCTTCTAGACATACTATTCAATAAGACAAGAGTTACGTCTACATAGTTTAATTGATTTGAAGCTTTTAGATAAATGCTAGCCAAAGGTATCAAGATCCCATCTCCCAGACAAAGGATATTTATTTAAGTATATCTGTCATCACCTACCGGGGTATATTAGAATAACATTACTTCAATTAAGACTCATTAAGGATTAGCCCCCATACAAGCTCGTCTATAGTGCATTAAGGATTAGCCCCCATACAAGCTCATCTATAGTGACACCCTAATCTCTTTCAAAGCATCCAGTAAATATGTCAACAAGATTAGTGCCAGTCCAACAGGATAAACAGGATTTAGTATTCCCCTCTGTCTAGCCAGCCATTTAGCTTAGGACACAACCAATCGTGTATCATCCAATCACATTCCATTTTATTGTTTAAATTTTTGTTAAATACATACTGTAGGCAGGTTTTAAGCAGAGAAGGGGTTTGACTCTCTTACCAAGCAGACCTCTCTCCCACAGCCCAGAGTGTGTACCGACTCTCTGTGGCACCCTCAGTTATTATCTAAGTATCTTGTAAATTGTTAATTGTTCTTG